TCCGGGTTGGTACCACGGCCACACGGACCGGCGTCCAGTAATAGTGTTGCATTTCTACGTTTCGTCTGGTGAGCGAGGCAGCCACTTTGTTAAAAGGTGGCAAAGCATCTGCAACCCTACGGGTGTTGCAAATGTCGGCATCGGGTGAACCGCCGGCTCGTTTGCCACTTTTTCTCATTAAAAAGAATCAGCAGCCTGGGCTTAACATTATAATTATTGGAATTTCCAAGCAAAATAAATGAGAATTATTTATGAAAAGGCGACTTAACAAAGACGATCAGAATAACGATGAAAAACCGTCACCTTATCACTGACCGTATATGTAATAACGACAATACTTTCATATATAAAGAGGCGATTTCAAGCTATCTCGTGTTATGAATTTAAATATGTAAACCTAAAAATAACGAAGACGCTAAGAAAAAAATATGGCTATATAAAAAAACCTAAACATCAGTCGAGTGAAACGTGAACGCTTTAAACAACTTTCAAAATAATAGAGGACTCTGTTGTAGACGGCGAAATTTGCAACGGCATATGGTCACCCCGACCATATCCCCTCACGATCCGCTAAATCGCAGCCCACAATGGACCGGCCGGCGCGCTTAAACTAGAATCCCGTTCAGACACTCCGCAATGCCGGGAAACGGTTCAATTATTTACTTACAAAAGGTTATTTACTAACGAACCGCTGTGTGCCTTCCTTATAGATGCCGAGCTATTAGCTTATATACGGAAACGAGAAAAAAGAAAGTTTCGAACTAATACGGTCCTACTATCGGACCCGCCGTCGTTTTCTCCTCTAATTATTCAATATTACATTACGTTTAGCCATACCAACTTATACCATTGTAACTGTATGAATTGATTGTGGTTGAATGAATTATATCGAATTTGATCGAATGTATACTAGTATTTTTAAGTGAGAGTGCCTGAAACTGGGCAATTTTTAAACGTTCACAACTCAACCAGTTAGCTATTTAAAAAAGTTGTCAAGTGTAATTATATAGAGCTCCTGAAGAGTTTTAGTAGAAGTAGAGACTGTTGATTATTTTCTTAACTCGAATTTATTATCCATCACAACTTCACTGGTAAATATTTGCTTTGACTTTTCGAAACGCATATCAATCGACCGACGCCCGGTTTCTGAAACACTGATCAACGTAGAAGTTAACTGATCAGTTGTCAAATGGCTTCCCAAATGTCGTTTGAGTTTCCAAAAGGATAGTTAAATAAGTAAAAGATGAACAGTTCAGAAACCGGGAGTGAAAGTCTTAAAATGGACTCGAAACCCCACCACTATGAGTGATAAGCATTAGTTGAGAAAAAAATTTACTTAAATATTCATATCCATCATACATCGTCACGGGTAATATGCCAATCAAGAAAACTATAGTTTTGAATCCGAAAACTCGGCAACGAAACTGATAATTTTCGAAGACACTTCAATTAAACCTTTACAAACCGCACTTATTTATGAACGCAAAACGATTCCGTATCATAATTTAAAGATGAATGTAACATCGATAACCTGTACCATTAAACTGTTATAGCACAACCTGAAAACGATTTTAATCTCGAGCGCAGATCGCGTGTAAACACGTACAAATGGTCGGAAAGTAAGATGGGCACAGCGGCACGCACATTGGGCATTAATAAGGCGCGGGTGTCGATATAATTAACGGCATATCGATTTTAATTACATCACTCGATACCGTCGCGGCTCAATTAAATATTAATTAATGGCTACAACACTCAACTGGTCGCGTTGTTCGATTCCATGAATTTAAATTGCAGATCGCTTTGTAAAATCGTAAGTACGAACGTTTGGAAAAAAGAGACAATTTGATACGGGTTACTTCATGATAATTACGACACTAATAATCTTTGATGTTGATTAAAATAACTATAAATAAATGTGGTAGGGCCACGCGAGTGCTCACTGTTGCACGAATGGGCAGGTCCGTCCGGATAAGTACCGCGACCTCACAGGAAGACCGGCCTTAAGTAGAAGTGTTACACTTCTGCGTTTCGTGTGGCGAGGTAGCCGAAGCCCAGTTTATTTAAAGGTGGCAAACGCATTTGCAAACCTACGGGTATTGCAAAAGTCTATGGGCGGCGGATAATACATTGCACCCGTGCGAAGCCGGGGCGGGTCGCTAGTAATGCTATATTACGAATTTCGCAACAATGATTTTCTAAAACAGCAAGCGTTTAAAATAACAAACCGATTGGTGCTGGCGTAAGTATGGGAATTTCCCGCAAACCACGGTATAACTGAGCTACCACGGCTAGAGAAAAATTACTAAGCACGCATAGTTTACACGCACTAAATGTTCCACGTAAAGACCAAAAAAAATCGTCAAGTTATGGCGAAAGCGTATATTGGATATCAAATGCTTCAAGCATATAGTCCGATCATTTAAACTAATATACAAACCCAATTTTTCTTTACAAAAGACAGATCATTTAATTTGTTAGTCGTCAAAAAAGATAAGTGTGAAACCATTTTCATTATGCTCGGAATATCATTGAAATACTTAAATATTTAGAATTAAAATTATGTAAAATTTTTTGAATAATTCTGAACTATAACCATTTGTTGTCTTTATTCTAATAGTCTTATTAACCAGTTCATTGACATCTTATTGATTGGTAGAAGAAATTATTTAATCCCAATAACACGTACATACCAAGAAATAGTTTCTTAGCTATTACACAAATCAAACAGAAAGAACAGCTAAGCATGCACTAAATAGTGAAATATAAAAATAATCACTTTACTATTAAACATATTTTATTTGTGCTTCAACGAATAATGTGTGCGTTAAAAAAAAATCTAAAGCTACTTTCGGCAACAGATTATTAATAGAAAAAAGATTTTAAAATAAATTTCCGACTGATTTCCATGTCAAATTAAACCAGCGCAAACATATAACTGCATCGAAACTGGCGCCACATAACCTCATACGGTAACTGTTTGTGAAAATAGCATCAAAACGCATTAACAATATGACTCGAACGGGTTCATTCAGTATAAAAGAGGGTGCATGATAAAATAAAACAATAGCATAGGACAAAATTTTATTGAAAATTAAAAATAATATCTCTAATAGTGCAATCTTTATTATATAAATACTAAGCCTCGTTAGAGTCACAGTGTTATAAAAAAAAGTAAAAAAAAAAATACTGTAAGTATATATTACAACGACAAAATTATGTATTAGAAGTGGGTCGATGACCTTTTGACAGTTAACTGAACGAGACCATTTTTTTTTTTGGATTTTATGGCCCGGTATCAAGGACCTTTAGGCCAAGACCATTCATCCTCTACGACAGGGGCGGCCAACAAGCTACACTAATTTCCGACAACCGAGAGAGAGAAATTTCATCACTTAAAAATCGATAACACAAAATCAGACAGTAATTTCCCTGTTCCCCTATACTGTACTTCTACATGTTTATTAACGTCTATCCTCGGTAGCGAACGAACGTTCTAAAACGTTGTATTCTATTTCGGTCGCGAAACATTATCAATATGACGTAAGAGTAGATTTCACGTAGACACAAGTTGGCTACCCCTGGTCTGAGACAAATGGGTTTCTAAAACAATTTATCCACACATCGATCGGTAAACGATCGATGGGTCGGTAAAACAGTCAATTCAAACATGTCGAAAAGAACAGGCGTCAACGCCATCTAGCTAACATAGACGGCAACCTAGACACAATATGATGCGTTCATAATTAATTTAACGTCAAGAATAGTTTGTGCCATAAATGTATAACATCGTTTTCAAAGCAACGTGTAACCGACTTATTTTCGCAATTACCTTTGGAATGTATTGAAATGCCGATCAATTTCAACGTTGCATGAACGCACTCTGGTCAAATTAAATGTGGCTAATACAAAGGTAACATTTTATTCTTAAGTAAGATTGCTGCTTTAATGAATTTAACTTTGGCAGAATGAGGTTTCTGCGTAAGCGGACAATGTTTAAAATTAAAATATGTAAGTGTATTCAGATCTTAAAGTTTATAGTGGTCGTAATTAATAGCGTATATTCGCCAAAGCTACATGATATTAAACGAAACTATTTTTAAGGATTTCATCCGTCCCGTGACAATGGATAATGCGAGGAATCTAAAAAAACGTCGGGTGTTTGAATTTATATAAAAGGCAAATAGTTTTTTCATTTAATGAACAATAATTAATAAATAATTATTATCACAAAACCGGATTACGGCTCGATTAGGAATGAAATTGCATTTACCTCAGAAGTCAGTACGCGTCTTATTTTACTATATTATTATCATTATAAGATAAAACTAATATTATTCAAATACCCTCCCCGGCGATTAAATATAAAACTGAAAATTCCCATTTCCGCAGCTTATAAAAAATTATCAAAGGAAATACTAATAAATGACTAAATACTTCAAAACATATTTTACAAAAGTTAGAACATTATTACACATAACACAGTCGCTTCACAAAGGCCAGCTATGCGAGACAACGTTTCAAGCCATGTGAACAAACATGTAATAAATTTTTTTTAAAAATGTTTGGAAGTCTATGGTAACCATATACATTTCCGAATAAGATGTAATGATTAACTTGCATCCCAAATCACATTCGAGCTTACACACAAATAGAAACGTAAAAAAAGAAGCGATTGTACATTCGAATACAATAAGCCATGCTGTTTTTTGAACAAGGTTTAATCAATCAAAAAATTGTGCGAAATAAAAAAAAAATAGGAACATCGATAAAAAAGTACATCGCTTTACAGTATCGATACTGATTGATACAACACTGATAAATGCATTTCGTCGTAACACCGGTATCTATTCTAATCTACGTTAGACACATCTATAGCACCGAAGTAATTACCTCCGTAATAGACGTTAACCAGCCAGCACAGGCACAAAACGCTTAGATAAAAGAATATGTTAGACTTATAGAGAGATGAGATCATGATGCCAAGTAAGGTTACGCACACTGATGACGTCAGCTCGGCGCTCGGCGATTCGTGGGTGCGCTTCGTTGTCGCTTGCTGTGCCTGCGAAATTTCGAAATGAGTAAAGTATCAGCCTACTATACATATCCCACTGCTGGGCAAAGGCCTCCTCTGTACAGAGGGTATCAGGGCATAGTCCACCACGCGGCCCCACTGCGGATTGGCGGACTTCACATATCTTAGAAATATTTTTTTTTCTTATTATTATTTCGAAAATATGCAGGTTTCCTCACGATATTTTCCTTCACCGCTGAACACGTGATAATTCAGCACTTGAAATTAACAATTTCATTAGTGCTGGCACCGGGGATCGAACTCAGGTTGCTCGAGTATATTGAATTAAAGGCGAGCGCCCGGACACTGAGCTATCACGGCTACTCGAAATGAATAAATGAGACATTTCTTTACATATTTGTTGTATATAATTGTATTTTAAGCACTGACGTAAAAAGAGGTGTGTTATAAGTTTAATGTCTACCTTGATACCGTAGCTTCTATCAATGAACCAATTATGGTGCGGTTGTTTGAAAGCTGGCGTGGTCGAGATTGTTCCTAGCTACAATGGAATAGAAAAATTTGGAAACCTAATGGCAGTTTGGACACGAGTAAAAGTTAAAGTTCGAAGGAGAGAATTTAGAAAGAATATGAGTGACATCGCCAATAGCGGTTATACAGGATAGCTTAATTTGGCACCCGTAATCGACGTTTTATATTATTTCTAGTTCCTCTAACACAAAGTTCCATCGTAATGTCACTTTTGTGTAAAGTGTGTATAACAAGGGCGAAAGACACGATCCTCGAGGAACGCCCGCCTTAAGGGGACGGCTGGTAAAGTGTGCCCTCTAATAAAAAGGGAAAAGAACGATTAATCAAAAATGCTCGAATAGCGTGAACAAACGAGTCTGTCTGGCACATTGAGTGCGGATAAATTTTAAAGGAAGGCGTTGAGGCACTTTGTCGAATGCCTTTGCGTTCCAGTCTTCATCGTCGTAATCGATGTGTTTGTGTGGATAGATCATACATCTATCATACATCTATGTGGAATAGGCCTTAAACCTTTACGCTATTTCTACCTCAGTATTATAAGTTTACCCCCGTAAAACAATCACATCACCGGTACTAGGTACGTTATTTCATAACATTGTACACGGTATTCCAGTGTCTCTTACCTTGGCGCAGAGCATCTTGTACTTGGCGTACGGCACGAGCGATATTCGGGCGTTGTTCGCGAACGTCCGCGCCACGAGGCGCGCCTGCTCGCGCCTGGACAACGCCACCAGGGCGGACACGTCGTCCAGGAACTGCACCGTTATCGGGCCTGCGGATCCCTTTCGTTTGTGTTTTGTGTGGAAGGCGGTTGCGCAGTAAGTGCCACTGCGACCTAGAAAGATCTATCGTAGTTTTGCCTTCGAAAACGTAGCGCCCTTAGTTAAGGGTGACATTTTCCTGTGCTGTGAGGACGTTTAGGCCTCTCCCACGGACTGTCACGAAGCACGATCCCGAGCCACCTGCATCCATCGACTTCCCACACACTTGCACAGTACGTCACTCCATCTAGAGGGGCGTCGTCCCACACTGCGATGGTCAGTACGAGGCTGCCACTCAAGAACCTTTCCTCCCCAGTGGGAGAGGCCTATGTTTAGCAGTGGACTCAAACAGGCTAAAATGATGATGATGATGATGATGCTGATGATGATAATGCGGATGATGATGATGATGATGATGATGATGATGAGGACATTTTACATACATAAATTTCACGTGGACAAACACCCAGATCCGAAACAATCATCTGTGGGTCAAACAAATAGTTGTAACATGTGGGAATCGATCCCGCGACCACAGCGCTGAAGGCAATGCCATGGCAACAGCGCCGAGTCGTCATAGGGATCCCTAACAAGCGAGTCGTACTCTGACTGATGAAGGTTCATAATGCACCGGAAATCATTAATAATTATCATTCTACCCAACTACGTCTAGGACAAAACGCTTTTACGTTTTATCCTATTTGGTGTCAGTCAAATCAAATCATTTATAACTCATTTCGAAATGAGTTTCCTCTAACGTAGAGGAAACAGGCGAAAGAAACTCCGAAGGTATCCTTTTATTTGTCATCCCAATCAGAAAAAGTTAACGCAAAGACAAAGGTGAAAGTAATGCCGATGCGTTGAAATAAAAGTACAATTTACCGAAGGCGCTGAAAAGCTGACTGATGTCACTCCTCTGCCAGTCTTTCGGGAATGTCAAGTGGAAAACGTGGTCCCTCGATGGCGTAGCTGAAAGACGACATGGAATTAGTGTCGACCACGCACATTATTTCGAAATAATGACAGGAAATATGACTTTGTAAACGTATATTTGCTTCGTTATACCAAAACGTCATCGTGCATAAACGATTACAAATGACGTCACTGTTCGAAGAACGCACCATTTCATAGTGCACGAAAAAATTACATGACGCAATTACGCAAATCAGTTTACTTATGGTACCCAATGCGGTGCGAGCGGGAGAGCAACGCTGTCCATACAGTTATCTCACTCGCACCGCGTTTCGAATCGCTTTCGGTCCTCCCACTAAACACCCGTGAAGATACATCACTTAAACGGGACATAAGGTGCATTCGCTCGCGCGCGTCATACTTCGCCACCTGATGGCGGCGGGGGCGCGGTCTTCAGAGACCGCGCCAAGACCAGGCCGGTCTCGACCGGCGCGGCACTCACGGTCTGCGCCGCTGAGGTTCATGTAGGGCGAGTCCTGGTGCGCGGTGCGCGCGAGGAACAGCTTGTTCAGGAACGGCTTGAGCGCGGCGCAGTCGGGGCCCGGCAGCCGGCTGAGGCGGTCGCCCCGCATGCGCGCCAGGTGCTGGTGCATCGCGAGGAAGCAGAGGCCCGTCACGTACGCGTCGTAGCCGGCCTCGTGGTGCTTGTCGTCCGCGTGCCGGTAGCCGCGCCCCTCCACCGACTCTGCGGACGCGCGGCGCGGTCACTAGCGCCGTCTGGCGGCCGCTTTGCCAACGAGCGGCGACGACAGACGTTGTGGCAATTCGATAGGAATATTAAGAGTGAAGTGACATTCGAGCGGGCGAAATATAGCCGCTTGCTCGTGTCGCAAAGTTATTATGATCAATTTAACGCAGTTTGTTCAGTTTTTATGGTTCCGTGCACAAAGGGTAAAACCGAACTAAGACTAAATAAACTAAGACTTCGCTGTCTGTCTGTCTGTCTGTCTGTATGTCTGTCTGTCCTATTCCCACCAGGCTTTATCCCATGAACCGTGATAGTTAGACAATAGAAATTTTCACAGGTGATGTATTTCAGTTGCCAATATAACAACAAATACTAAAAAACAGAATAAAAAAAATATTTAAGTGGGGCCGCCATACAGATGATATTTTTTGAGATTTTATAGATAATGGTACGTGACCCTTCGTGCACGAGTCCGACTCGCGCTTGGCCGTTTTTTTAATATCTATACTCAGTGATCTAGTGGCACTTAGGTCGCGAGTTTGATTAGGCAACATCTTACATTTGTTTCACGCGTACAACAGTATACCACTTACTACTTTTTTGAATGACTTGGCTAGGTCGAGAGCACCTGCTGTCTCTTTCTACCCTCTAAGGTCCTATAGAGAGCTTGTAATGATTACCGGCTTTCGGCAGCGAGAAGGGCGGCTCCGATAACGTCACGAGCAAATGCTGCAGCACGCTGGAGTTCACTTTGTCCTTGAATGGAGGCAAACTTGACATGTACTTGGTGTCCAGCAACCTGGAAAGAAAGGGACAGCATGTTTAAAACCATAATCGGTGTACAAAATCGTTTTGTAGAAGATGTCTCAAAAATTGTCAAATTGACAACGTTAAAACATGTGTTTTTAAGCATTGTAGCCATTTTTGTAAAAGTACAAAAATAGAATAGAAACAAGTGAAACAAGTCAGAGTAATGGAATAGTTAAGTATAGAAATAATACTTGTCCAATTACCAGAAACGTATCCTATAACCCCAGCGTCAGGTCCAGTACTTTAGCAATATGTGTATGCTGTTGCTTTTTACATTTTTAAATCCAACCGCCATTAAGGAATGAAATAACAAACGGACAAACTAAGACATTTTTGCATTACAGATCAAATTCTCTCACCTAGGGAACATGCAGTGGGCAAACTCTTTGAACGACTCGTAGTCAGTTGGCAGAGGTTGGAAGAAGTGATTCAGCGTGTGTATGAGATCTAACAGCATGTTGTGTCCTATCACCAACTTTTCCTAGAATAATACATTCAGATATGTTTCCTGTTTCGCACAGAGAAGATTGAATAACTGAGCTGAGAACGAAAGAAACAAAAATAAATAATCCGAAACAAAATTTTGGAGTTATATGTATGTTAAACAATGCATCATATTTATTTACTAGGTTTTTATTGCATTTTAAACAATGCAATAACAAATTAGATAAATACATTGAGATTTTCTTCAGCGTGAAGAGATGGCTAGAGCGTTTATAGTTAATATATAAATGATAAAAAAAAACAATAAAGTTTATTGAAATAGTACTCCACTTACCGATTGGCTGATCATTCTGGCGACCTTAGAGAAGCCGACGGCGTCTTCGAACTCTTCCCACTCTTTCACTTTCTTCTGCGCGTCCCTGTCTATCCCTTCGTTCTTTGACGTTATCCGAGTGACTTTAAGAACCCTGGACAGTTACCATAAAATAATCAGAACTCAATTGCCAAAAGTGATTGGAAACCACAGAAACTTTTATTTTATCTGACGTATTTACTGTCAGTCCATACACTATTACAGCATAATTGAACGCAGAATACGTGGCCTAGTAGGCCCTACAAGCTTGTTAGGGCTTCCGCGTTGAGTAGCTCCATCGGCACATAGGGGCCATCGAAGCTCGGTACAGACTGTGACACTGATGGTCAGACTATACTAATCGGTAACTGAGAACGGTGAGAACCACCCTAGAATGCAGTACCACAGATGTAATATCGTACATAATTGGAAATTGCTAATTTATTATTGATGATTTGTATGGTGTGGGGCTGGGAACGCCAATTCGTCGCTATTTTAGGTTGTGAGATCAAACAAGTATGGATCTTCTTAAACACTTGTTTCCTTTTACTTTGGGATAACAGTTCTATTTTACTTGGTAAGTTACTTGATCAGTTGTACTTTTATTAGATCATATACATTTCATCATGTCTAGGTACAGAAATACACATCTAATAACAAAACACTATGTATATGAAATTAAAATCATTATACAATATGCCATAATTCAGTTTAAAACAGATATAAATAATATAAAGAAAACCCATGGTGAGTCAATAGTTACTAATTCAGTCTCTTATTAATCTTTACCTGCTTTTGTTTTCCAATATCTTGGTTTCAATAAACACCTCGTTTTTAAACCTTGCACCCAGCTCTTGGAACAGTAAACGTCTGATGTAAGCATTGCAACGATCAATCTCCATCTCATCCAACTTCTTCTCATCCAGGAAAGCCCGCACCTTTTTGCTGCGGGCAAGTTGTAAAATGGATCAACTTGCAAATTTCATCTTCTAATAACTTCTTTTATTTTCTGGCTATTAACCATTTAAGTAAGAGTAATTTACGGTTCTATGTGGTTTATTTCATTTTCTATTTACCATGATTTCTACTTTCCAATGTTGACATGCTTCTAATATCTTGGTGAACCTTTACCCTCACATTATGCTATATTCCTCTATTACCTTTGAGAATCACTGTATAATTTGTTACTAATACACTGCATATTGTCATTGCTATGTGAGATGGTGGCAAGTGAGTAGGGGGTTCACATGACTTTATGTGATTACAATTTGATGACTCCGTGGCGCAGTTGCCAAGGTATTGGCTTCGGCGTCGGGGGTCGTGGGTTCGATTCCCACACGGGACAACTATTTGTGTGTCCCACAGATAGTTGTTTCGCATCTGGGTGTTTGTCCGCGTGAAATTTATGTTTGTAAAACGTCCTTTACAACACAGGATAATATTATCCTGAAGTAAGGGCAGTGTATAAAAAAAAAAAAAAAAAAATAACCCACGGACAACCCATCTACAAGACCTTAGGGATCGCAATATATAGCCAGCCTTTAATAGAGTGGACCCAATTATCTCTCTATACAGAAAATACAAAAAAAAATCTACTCCATGATTGTTCTGTGATGCCATGGGTCTTATTTACATTTCCACAAAACCCTGTCTATTTGTAACAGTAGAAGCTACTGTGTGACCCTACAACATCTACTACTGCATCTCTCTCACCTTTTAGCCATAAGGGAATATATAAATGTTTTACATTTTTTTAAACATCATAGACAGAGATCCTTATCATTGTATGCATATGAGCAGTAATTCACTGATTCACCTATACCAAATTATACATTTAACTAAGTTTATTAATCAGTAAAGAAAAATAATAATTTACTTATTTTAAAAACAATTTAAAATATGTCTCACAATAATATACTACTTCAATTAACCCTCTAGGGACTATTCCAGCTATAACATATCATATTGTTTATTAATCATAACTGACTCAAACTCACCATATGTCCTCTATTTGTTGTTTGTTTTCATCTGGTATGGTTATGGCATCCTTCTCAGCGTAACTGTATGATTTCTGTCGCTCTGTCAGATTGTCGCGTAACCGAGATTCGGTTGGCTCCGTCATGTAGGATATACCTCAAAATTTGTAATATTTACAAACACACGTGACGTACTGATGTTTTCTTGAGAAATCTTATTATAAAATATCAGTATTTTCTTGAGAAACCTTATTATATTATAATCTTAAGTGAAAATGAGTTAATTTAAATTTATCAAATAAAATTATTGTATGTATTTAAAAATTTTATGAAATCCAAGATAATTGATGTTTTTAATTATTGCAGGTTATAATGTAACAGGGTATTATTAAACATAGATTATGAACACACATATTTTCTATTGAAAAAGTAAGCATTATCAACAAATTCTAATATGTAGAATGAAAGTTTAAATATTATTATAAATGCAAAAACAATTTATCATCCAATATGCCACTAGATGTTCTGCCAACATTCAAATAAAATAAAATGAAAATTAATAACAAATTAAATACAATTTTTTTCAGCTATTAAAAATGTAGAAATTTGTAGTTAAGTAAACATGTCAATCCCTAACAAAAACATAAATTAGGTACTTTCCTTTTCTTCTTTTACACAATCGACGAAATTATTAATTGTACATCCAACAAACTAATCCATCAGTTTTAAGTAAACAATAGCACAATCTTTGTGACAAATAAGTTAAAATCTCTGATATGGAACAATATTAAAAAGTCTGTATTTGATTTTGGAAAATGATCTTTGCAGTAGTAACATGTCGGTTCTAGATAAATATTATCATAGCCTTATGTTTTTCATTAATGCCGATATAAAAATTCCCCATTTATTTTTATATAGGCATGCCTGTCTTTTTATATATTGAAGTGAAATAACATGTGGTGGATTTCCTTTGCAAAAAAACAACTTTTAATTCTTTTTTCTATGTATAAGTAACCATTTTCTAATATTTGAACTAGGCAATTATAATTTCCCATATGTTTCTCCATTAATTAAAAATATTTATAAATGAAGTGTGTGTCTAAAATGACACATTTCCATTTATGGTTTTACCTAGTTTCATATTGTATTATTATAATAACACAATATGAAACTGTGTATAATAGACATACAGTGTGTCATTACAACTGCAACAATAAATGAACACACATATAGAGGATAAATTTTTAAAATTTTATGACACATTTACATTCTTTAAACATCAATATTTACCAAGTTATTAATAGAGCCCATAGATATGGGCCTAACAATACGAAAAAAGGCAAGTCTGCCAGACGCCTGCTTTGGGGTGTCTGGCAGAGTAACAATTTATCTTAATTAATGAATATTGTGGTACAACTCACCTTCTTTTATAAGTTTATTAAAGTCAAAACCTTGTGAAGCCAAAAAGTCCAAACTGGAACTTTGACAAAGAAACATTTTTTCAGGCCCAGGCCGTCCACGGGGAAACAAGTAGAAATTGTATGCATCATTCATATACTGATTTTCCTTTTCGTTCCAATAGAAAGCACACAATCCATACTGTATCAACAAGAACTCCGTAGATCCATTAAGCAATGTAGTGTAATACTCCTGGGGTGAATCAAATATAGAAACATCGCGACCGTTTATAAGACCAGTGAATTCTGTGTCTATTACTAGGAAATCAGCCTTGTCTATCGACTCGCTTATAAGAGGGAGACTTTCTTTGAAATCTGTAATAGACCGGCGAATGTTAGAAGTCTACAAGTATCAATAAACACCAACTGAAATAAAAACACCTACTCTTGCGAGTCACCTCCATTCTTCTCCTTTGTTATAGTGTGGTTAACGTTGATAACAAGTAATTGAATAAGATTGTCGATTTATGTTACTACTTGTTAATTACAATATTTTATAAACATTTATATACAAAACGAGAGTATTAATGTCATTAATGATTAGCGCGGTACAAAACCTACGGATACAGAATCAGAAGACTAGTGGTGAGCGATACATATCGTATCAGATATGAAAACTAGAAATTAGTACAATATCCGAATATCGCTTACCCGCTGTCAGGTAACCCATACTGGCTCGTTCAATATATGTATTTTACAATATCTGATATTTCCGAAATCTGGTAACATGCTCGCTCACTATACCGACACGAATCGCGATATCATACGCGTTTGCCACAATATCTGATTTTTAAACAGATTTCGAGAGACAAAGCGCGTGAGATACAAATACTCACTAGTTAGAGCGGGACGGCAAGCAATGCACGATATCAGATATTGAGCGACAGAGCGCGTGAGATATAAATACTCACTAGTTAGAGCGGGACGGCAAGCAATGCACGATATCAGATTTTTTAAACAGATTTTGAGCGACAAAGCGCGTGAGATACAAATATTACACTAGTTAGAGCAGTACGGCAAGCAAGGCACAATATCAGATTTTTAAACAGATATTTTGAATAAATTAAGTAATTTTGAATCTTAACACCATACAAATAAGATCCGTTTCAATTAAATACTAATCATGGTATCAACGATTACTACAACGATATTATTAAGTATATTTTTATTGTTTTGTTTAGCCTTGAGCCGTAACGGGCGACAAAGCGCGCAGTTAAGTAATTTTGAATCTTAACAGCATGGAAAAAGAAAAAAAAAAACATTTTTAGATGCATTTAAATACGAATTACGGTATTAACGATGTCTTTAAATTTTGTTTAACCTTGACCTGGATTGCATTGGTACCTAGCACGTAATAGTAAGGGATGCCAACTTACTACTTAAGAATTTTCTGCCTAAATTAAGGAAGAAAAATTTAAATGGAAATTTTTTAGGAGGTAAATTTTTTGTGAATATTTTTATTCGTTAAACTTTATTCATATTTTTTTGAAAAAAAATAAAACTACACAAAAAGAAAAATATAATTTAATAGTGCTGTGCTGCTTGGGTGGAAATCAGACCAAGGCTTATGTGCTTTGTGTGTATATTTTAAATTCTTCCGCCCTAAGTTATAATACTGAATGTATTATTTCTTACACAAATTATAAAAATATTGTCACTCATGATTGCGTGTTCTAAGAATATGTTAAACTCAATTATTTTAAGCGATATATAAGATGTTGAAATAAATCATTTTTATATTACTTCAATTTCTATTTTTAATGAAATTTATTTTTTTATTATTATGGGGTGATATTCATTTGTCTTCTCGTCTGGTTGGGTTTATAAATAAAAAAAAAATATAGATACATATTGCATATATGTATAAAATAAATATTATGAATAAAAATAAACATATACATATAATGTTGTATATAATACATATATAAATAGGACCCAACCAGACGGAAGCCCTCGGCAGGGGAGACCAAACGGCCGAGGGTTAGGGCGATAGGGAGAGAGAAACCGGCGGACGATGCGGGCGGTATCGAGGAGCACCGCCTTCTGCATTTGAGCTTGGAGCGATCCGTCCCGGAGTCCCAGTCGCCTCAGATGTTTGGAGAGGCTGACTGGGATTAACCCATTCGCAGACACGACTATCAGGATAATTTCGGTCGGCACACCACCCCACATGTCGGTCACCTCGTGAGCCAGGTCCAGATACTTTGTCTTCTTACCTGTTTCGGCTTTCACGAGGTTCTCGTCATATGGAATGGTAATGTCGACCAAAAATACCCGCGACTGTGCCCGGTCCATCACCACGATGTCAGGTTTGTTCGCGGCAATCGTCCTGTCCGTGATGATGGGCCGGTCCCAATAGAGCCTGGCGCGGTCATTTTCGAGCACGGCCTCCGGAGAGTACTTATAGTACGGCAGTTTCCGATCCACGAGGCCGTATTTTCAGAGCGAGCTCCTGGTGTAGGATTCTGGCTACTAGGTTGTGTCTATGCAGATACTCAGAGTTAGAAAGCATGGAACAACCGGAAATAACATGCCGAAGCGACTCCCCGGGATGGCGACAAGCTCGACAGATGTCGATAGTGCCATCCCTTAGGATGTATTTCCGATAGTTGTTCGTCTTAATAACCTTCGGTTTCCCCAAAGAGGTCACCGAAACGTAGCCAGTTGAGGGAGGCAGTAGTATTTACGAAAGGCTCGTGTAGGGCCTTGTAGAACCTCCCGTGGAGCTCTTTCTCCTTCCATACGGCCTCCCGGTCGGAAACGCTCAGTACTCCCGGGTCCTGCCATTGCTCGTTGGCTAAGGATAGAGGGGTAAGTCCTTTATCACAACTAATGACGTCTGTGTAGATTGAATCATCCGATCTCGCCAGGAAGTAGTTACGGAGGCTGCACACCTCGCGATTGTGCATGGTAAGGGCGCTCAAAAAGCCCCTCCCGCCATGCTTCCGCGGCAGGTACAGCCTCATCACTGACGATCTCGGATGATGCATCCTGTGGGACGTCATAGTTGTGAGGACTTTTCGGTCTAGGGCATTGAGCTCAGTTTGAGTCCACCTGAGTATGCCAAAGGTATACATGAGGACTGGCATGACCCAGCCGTTAAATGCGCGTGCCTTGTTCACGCCTGACAAATGGCTGTTAAACACCTTTGTCAGGCGTGCAAAAAACACATCACGAACTGACTGTTTCATTCCAGCCTCATCGATACACATGTTTTGTGACATACCCAGGTATCGGTATGTTTCAGCCTCAGAGAGGGTCCTTATGTTAACGGGCATAGATAAGTCTATGCCCTCCGTATTAGTGACCTTACCCCTTTCGACATGAAGGACCGCACACTTATCCGTCCCGAGCTCCATTTTGATAGAATTGCTGAAATCACAAGTGACTTTAAGCAATTCCATCAAATGGGAGCGATTGGAGGCGAATAATTTGAGGTCATCCATGTAGAAAAGGTGGGTCACTTTTGTCCCTCCTCTCCGAAGCTGAAATCCTCTCCCTGAATCCTCTCAGCGTGTTACTGGGGGGCTCCCCCCAGTAACACGCTGAGAGGATTCAGGGAGAGGCAAAACCATATTGGACTCAAACAGTCGCCCTGGAAAATACCCCGTCGTATCCTTATCCGGTATTCCGCAGCCGTCATCCGCTCGCCTAGATGACAAAGGATCGTACTCCATTGCCCCATACAGTGCCCGAGGAAGTCTCTTACTGTACAGTCTACTTTGTACTGTTCGAGGACCCTCTTTAGCCATGTATGGGGCACAGAGTCGAATGCCTTTTTGTAGTCTATCCAGGCGGCGGAGAAGTTCCGACGGTTGCGTTTAACCATTTTGCCAATGACCGCGTCGATGAGAAGCGGTTCCTTGGTTCCACGACCGCCGCCCCGACATCCATTCTGAGCAGGAGACATAATCCGATTCATATTAATATGTCGGGTGATTCTCATGCTCAGAACAGATGTCAGTGTCTTATAGATGGTCGGTAGACACGTAATGGGGCGGTACTTGCTTGGGTCTGTGGTAACCTGATCTTTCAGAACCAAGTGAGTGACCCCAGTAGTAAAGAGGCTCGGGAGCGACCTCTGATCGAGAGCCTCTTGGAACTGTCGGGCGAGCACGGCATGACACAGCCAGTAGTGATGCAGCCCGTCGAGTCCCGAACTTTTCCAGTTCGGGGCTCTACGGACTGGGGCCCTCGCTGTGGTCTACGGGCTCTGACCACAGGCTGCGCCAGAAGGCAACAGTGTCGGCGCTCCGTTAGTTTTTGCATAATATCCGGCTGGGACAAGTTGATGTTGGTCCCAGCGAACGCCATCCTAACGGTGCGCACAATTCTGGGCCTATTATTGCCCGACCTGAAGCTTATCAGCCTGCCGATGATGGCCCTTACCTTTGCGATACGGTCCTCAATTCTTCTTCTCCATGCTGGTGGTGCTACCTGGTTTAGTAGCACGTCCAGTCTTTGGAAGTTTGGCGCCAACGATTCGGCATACTGCCAGTGCAGCGCCAAAGAGAATTGAGTCCGTATCGCAAAGATCCCTGCTGGCTTCCAAATAGGTTACCAGCATCGGGTTAAGAGACCTCACGACAGACCGACTCCGCTTACTTAGGGGTATGCGGGGGAGTCGTGGTCGATTCTCGAGACGTGTTTCGCGCACCTCCAGAATTGCCTCCTCCAATATGCTTCTCATCTGCTCTATTTCTTAGGCGACTATTCCATCATAGCACGAATCTACAGGAGCCGGGGGGTAAAACGCGGCGTCCGCTTCCGCTTGTAACCCTGCGGGATCCGCAGCTTGCGGGGTCGCATTTCCAGCCACTGCATTTTCATTCGATGAGGGAACAGCCTCACGTCGAAGTCGTTCGAGCTCGGCATCATCAAATGCTTTTGAACGCATGATGTACCGAACTCTGTCTGCTAGGTTTTGCTCGGTGACGGTTAAAGATGGCTCCAGCTCAGCAAAAACGCGATGAATCCTTGCCCGATACGCAAACCCTCCAGTTTCACTCCCTTTCGCCCTAAAATACGCCCGCATTGCGTTCTGATTTATTATAGACGTCCAGCGCAAGCGGCGTATTCCACCAGCGGCGGGTGCCGATTGCTGGATCCGAGAGGATCCTGCCGACACCAAGCCAACTGGTGGGGATGATGGATGCGAGGTACTGCTTGGTGGTCGTGCAGTACCCCGAGCTCGGCTGGCGTCCCGCATGCTGCCACGTCCAGCGCCAGCTCCAGACGCGCCCTGGCGGCCCCCAGGCAGCGGCCCTATGCGCGTTCTTCTATTTTCCATCATCCATTTTAAGTAGGGCGTCGTTTAACGGAAGACGCCCCCAGACCGGCACCGTTTTCGGTAGTGTGGCCGAACGCACAGACGGGCCTATGCACCCTCACTTTTGCCTAGGCACGGTGCAAACACCTGTTGTCAAGGCGCTGACTAATTGCGCCGACGTAATAGTTCTGTCACTTAAACTGTTACGCCGGTGGGCGATGGGGTCGTCACTTCCCTACGCCTTTTTATTATTATTATTTTTTTTTTAGAATTCAAGGTGGATACGGGACCGTAAAATATCTAGATATTAAAATACATAGTTTCGAAATTTGATATTTGAAATCGAAATCTGATTCAGATACGGTACTCGGAAAAAGCGATACGACCCATCTCTACAGAGGACATTTTAATTTTTAAGTCTTAGCGTTAGCCTTGACACATGAATGACATTGATTATTGAGCACAGACTTACAGAGCACAAAAAGTACCTTACAAAACTGACTATTGAGTCTGATATTGATGTTTCAAGATCACTTTAATTTAATTCAAATAGGTTCGTCCTATGTAGATACGTCCTTAAACTATTCCACCGTCTTCCAATTGATAACACCATAATCCAGCAGCATTTTCAAGTAAAATACAATGGGTTTTACTTACCTAAAAATATAAATACTGGATTTGTTCATAGTACACAGGTACCTCTCTTATTCATAAAAGTTGACGATTAAGTGCATAGTTTTTGTTCTTTCGCAAATATAAAAAGTTCAGAAAAGAAAGATCCACCTGTGATATCAATCTACTTTAATTTTTGGTAAATAAATGGTTTTTCTTTATTTCTTTCTCAAAACCAAAACTCCTTTCTATTATGTTATTTTCTTTTAACCACGAGGGAACGGAGGCGGTAATGTGTTTGGCTTAACTATCGCTACATTTCTCATCATAATCAGTAAATATTATTAGGGCTGTGAAATTTGTCTGGTTAGGCCAGTGAAGTAAGTTACAGTCTATTAAATAAAGATCTATACGCGGGACATTAACATTGACAAACAAATATGAATCTGGTATATGAAGTTCCGTATTTTTAAATAAAGAAAAGTGTGTGTGTGTACTTATGTACACGCGTTAGAAGTTATACTTCTTTGGCGTAACAAGATTAAAATCTTTTCAAAAATCTTATCTTTCGCCTTATTCTACGTTTATAGAAAAAACGACACTAACAATAGAAAAAAGGTATTTAATACATTCAAAGTTTTATTATAACGCGTTATATAGTCAAATAAAGTTTATTTAAATATCACGAAATACTTAAATATCGTGAATCACAGCTGTCAGTTCTCACGCAAACATACGTAGATGTCTAGCTAACTTCAGGGTTTCGATTTTTCGTGACGGTGTGCGCGCGCATCGTACAAAATTGTCGTAATTTTTCCCTAACGCGCCAAAAGAAGTATAACTTCAAAAATGTACGTAACACAATGTGGTACTTTATTTCGTAATGTCACTTTAGTTTATTAATGTTCAATTAATATCAATGTCCCGTGTATCATAAACTAGTACAAAAGTCAATTTAACGGGTTAACTAAATTAACTCAGCCAACAGCTTAGCTGGTTAACTAATCCCAGCTTATTAGCCAACGGCTAATCAACTTTATACTGTAGTATTATGGGCAGGTCCGTCCGGGTCCGACCTCACAGAAGACCGGCGTAAAGTAGAAGTGTAACTTCTACGTTTCGTCTGGTGAGTGAGGTGGCCGGGGCCCACTTTATTTATAGATGGCAACGCATTTCCAACCTCACGAATGTTGCAATTGTCCATGTGCGACGGTTATCACTGAACATGAGCTCGTTTGCCACTTTTTCACATAAAAAAAAACAACAATTAAATCTGTTTACCGATAATGATGATAATGTAGGAAAGCGACTGTATTTACCTCTTCCTAGTTTTATTTTAAATGAAAGTTGTTGTTACATGTAAAAAAACCGGTACTTTTCCGTTACCCGGGCGCAAATGTTAAATTTGACTCTTTCATGAGCTCTCGCCAGAACTCTAGCTATGACGTCCCCCGAGTGTCGCTTCACCGACTCGACTTCGCGCTCCACTACGCTACGGAGCTACTGACTCTGCTTTTTTATATTTACTCTAGGAGTAGGGACCACAAGACCACATGGAATTGGGATCTGTAACTCACTTTAAACCTAACCTAATCCAATAGAAGAATCTAACAGGATATCAGAATTTCTTGTTCTAATGTCCCCTCACTAATCTATGTATGATTGAACAGGTCATGCACAGAAATCAAACCACTGATGTGCCGTCTCAATAATAATGACAAATCTTGTAAATGTCAAAAGTTATACCCTTAAATTACAACATGTAACGTTCCATTAAAATCAAATTTAAGACAAAATTGTTTAATAGTTAACATAAAACGTCCATTCTTTAAACTGATAAGTATTGTGCTGATACAATTCAGTAATGAAAAAATAAATAATGCATCTTTAATATATCTTTGAACGTGTAAAATGTCCATGAATTGCGTTTATACTAGAGACGAGCGCCTCAAGAGTATAACAGAAATAAACTGGCCGGGTGTCATAACCCTTTTAATATACCTCTATGTATTTAATTACCTTTCGGCACCATGTTACGAACTGGTCGAGGACTTTTTTCAGGCTTTATGATGCAAGCAACGAGAGAACCGGTAGCGAGGTGAAATATTACAACAAAATAAAATACTGTGCAAAGAATAAAAAAAAAAACATCATTTTAAACGTTTATTTCATTCACAATAATTTCATTTCATGTTAACAGAAATATGCCTACTTTAACATCTTCTCAATGTGACTAGAAAGCCGCTCGTAAGCGACTTTGTTTCTATAAAGGTGAATATTTGACTTAACTTTCTTGAAAAGTAGTTCTGGGTCAATCTCGCTGAGAGCTAGAAGGGCATCTGAAAAAAAATAGTCGTAATGGTGTAACTACTAATATATAATCTACAGAAACCAAAATGAAGTCTGACAATCCATTGTAGAAAACTTGATAATCGCTCTAGCCAATTGAGCTTAACACCGTGAAGAAAATTTTCTACATTGTATATATTAAAAGTAGTAAAGAAAAGTAATAAATAGCCTAATGTCCTACTGTTTTTAGTTAGTAACAATCATTCCATAGATATATTGTACCAAAAACGGGAGAATCGGCATCTATTAAACTCCCAATTAAATAACCATCGACGGGAAAGGTAACGGGGACAGACTCACCGAGCACCTCCTTGCGGAACGCCTCGTCGGGATCGTCCAGGTGTATGAGCATCGCGCTGTACACAGCGTCCACGTGTGCACCGAACACGGCAACCTCGTAGAGACGCGGGCGTCTCAGGAACAGATCGCGTACGGTCTGCACGGCAAACGAGCGCACCTTGTCGCTGCTGTCGTCCAGACGCTTCAGCACCACTGCAAGGATTCTTCCCTTAAAGAGGGCAAACTGGCAATCGCTTGCCATATTGGCAATCGCAGCCCCAACATGTATGCGAAGGCAAAGCTTGCCGTTTCATTGCCTTTATTTTCATTTGCTTTATTATAAATGAATATTTATTTAGTTTCAACAAACACAGTTGTGTTAACAATTGAAAGAATATAAGAAATAATATATGAAACCAAACAGGTATGTTCGCGGTACAATTTGATTTTCAGCACATACAAAAAATTTTAATTATAAATAACGAACTAGACTAAGATTAACACAAAACAAGTACATTTATTAGATTTATTATCCCTCCAGTATACTTCCAGTTCCGGCACTGGCGCTAATAAAAAACTTACTATTTTAATTTTTTTTTGGTATGTACATACCAGACTCTTACTGCGAGGCTTGGCTTCACATGATACTCGTTTTTGTCCGCAACCACTATGACAGTACGAATATCTAATACCATTGATATTAATAGGTCGATAAAAGAAACGGTATGCATTGTTGAGAAGGTTCGTAACTGTTCCTTCTTAAGCGCCGGTTTAGTATGAATGATGTTTAGTTATAGCAGTTGCGGCTGATTTTGTTTAAAAAAAAACATAAGAACGTATAGTTTCTTCTCTGGTCAGGTCTGGTTTAGTGAAACGGTGGTTGTTTCGACGTTCAACAAGAGCTCAAATCGGGCCCATATAAATATATGTATAAATTTAAATACGTATCTATATACAAACTGAGCACAGACATACATTCGTACGCGCTGGCTCTACGGGCAAAGGCGCTCACCGAAGTACAACTTGTGTAGCATTTCGGCGGTGAAGCGCTCGTGCCGCGCCGCGACGGCGGACAGGCAGCGTATTGCGCGCATCGTGTGCTGACGCGTCAGCACGGAGTTGTCGTCCGCCAGGCCCGCGAGCAACGGGACCATGCGCTCCAGGAACGGCTCCAGAGACTCCTTGGTGGGGAACAGGTCCACTCTCTGAAAGTGCGAGGGCCAAATTTGAAACGTGAACTTCTGAAGTTGCATACATCTCTTATTTAAAATACTATGAACAAATATGTTTTGTGTGTAATATAAGTAATTATACAACGTGTCGTTACCATCGCGACAATAAATGAACACACGTCTAACGCTACTTGCCAATCAAAATCATAAAAAAATATTAACGTTAAACAAAATCCATAATTAAAAAAAAATATTTTTCAATCAAACTAATTAAGTAAAAAAGAAACAAAATTTGTAATATCCTATACAACTCGCGACAGAGCCTCTCCTTCTAACAGCATGTTTTGTCTCTTTTAAATTCATTCAACCCATTCATATTCTTTGTGACCTTTACAAATGAACTTCACGTTACGCTTTTATAGGTAAGGGTGTTCTAAAATTCTTTGTTTTGGAAAATTTAATATCTCTGTAAATATTGATGTTTAAAGAATTTAAATGTTTAATACAACTTTAAAAAGTTATCCCCTATATGTGTGTTCATTTATTGTCGCGATGGTAACGACACGCTGTATAATATAAACTATGCAATGATATTTATATAGATATAAATACAAGAAAGTAGAATATAAAATATTATAATAAGATAAATAAGTTGAATGCTTTGTAAATATACATATAAAATAAGATATGTAAATATATTATAAATATGTGAGTCGCCACAATTAGATTCTGTTACGGTTTTCGCGGGTTGATAACTAGAGAGACGGGATTCGTCCTAGTTTCAAGTGTCAATACACCATAATGTATTGTTGTGTTTCTGTTTACATTATTGTGTTTTTGTATCTTATTTTTCTTATCGCGCGTACGGGTGAAATGAAAGAAAGAAATATTTATTTCATACATAAAAAACATTCAATTGCATTTATTGTCTTTTTTTTTTACAAACAAAGGGTACTGGCAAGCAGATCTAAAATTTTTAGTTACTTTTGTTACTCTAAAGAAGTATGGCTTCACTTGCGTACTTACGTATATTTATTTACACACACATTTTTTATAGAAATAAAATTGCGAGGGGCAGATCAACTTTCATGTTTAGTTCAGACTGGAAATGAAAATACAAAAAAATCATGTCGGGATTTATGGCCGTGAGATCATCGGTCGCTTAGCTGTGTTGGTTAAGCCGGCAAAGGCTAATGAAGAAACGTGGCAAAATGAGCCTTAACGAGTAAACAATAAGTTCGGAAATAAGTTTGATTAAACGCAGTTGCCAAGATATTCGCCTTCGGCGTCGGGGGTCGTGAGTTTGACGGGCCAACTATTTGTGCGACCCACATATAGTTGTTACTCATCTGGGTGTTTGTCCGCGTGAAATTTGTGTATGTAAAACGTCCTTACAACACAGAATAATGTTACCCAAAAAAGTAAGGGCTACGTTTAAAAAAAAAATATCAAAGAAAGAAAAAAAAGTCGCCCGTCACCTTCGCGTCACTGTCCCCGTCCGCACCTTCGTCGGTTACGTCCCCTTCTTGGAGGGCCGAGCATAGACACGCCACGGCGGCGGTGCGGATCGCCTCGGCGGTCCTACCAGGCGCCCATACCAGGTTCGGTATTATCACGTCTAGGTCAACAATTTTATTTCGTTTCACTTCACGATTGTGGGTAACAGCCGGCACACAAAGGTATTGTAAAAAACGAGGTTCCCACATTTAAGTAAGTTTAAAAAGGAAAGAATTCTGCCTGTAATCGTTTTGTAAACAAAATTTCAATATGATATATTGAAATTTTGTTTACAAAACGATTTATAAATGAAAATATTTTTATATACTATATATTATATAAAAATATTTTCATTTCAAAAGGATAGATTGTACGCAGTTATGGGTTTTTAATGGTTTATAATTAATATAACACTCACACATCATTATTGATGAAAGATGTTTTCTATTGGCAACACCATATTATCCGTCCATCCGTCCGTATTAAAAACTCTTACAATGTTGGCAAAAAAATCACGATCACAATTTTTTTATGTGACACGTGGCAACCGAATTTTATGAAATATGTAAAGTTGGCAAGTGAGCAGGCGATACGCCTGATGTTAAGTGATAACCGCCACCGATGAACATTTGCAACCCCGTAGGATCGCAAATGCGTGGCCGCCTTTTAATAAAGTGGGCTCTGGTTACCTCGCTCATAGACGAAACGCAGAAGTATAACACTTCTACTTCACGCCGGTTGCCTGCGAGGTCGTGGTACTTCCCCGAACGGACTAGACCATTCGTGCAACAGCGAAAGCTGTTGCGTTACCACAGTTTATAGTTTACAGCATGTTTGTAAAAAATTATGTCAGTGAGTGAACACGAAAAAATTTGCACCGGTCCACTAGTTTATTAAGCGTGACATGTTGCCACAAAAAAAGCTAATTGCATAATTTCTAAGACTACTGGAGACTATCAAATACTTGAAGAAGCCAAGCTTTTAGCGACATGTTCGTTAATAATTAGTAACGAAGTAATTAAAAAAATATTATATTATAAGTCAGTGAATTGAGAATAAACGTGTTTATGAATAATGAGCCAATGTTCAAATATCCTTCATCGAATTTACCATCGATAACTACTTTGAGGAAAGCCTCAAGTTTGTCCATTTCGCATTTGCTGAAGTTGTCTTCCCGCTTCAACAGCACTGTCGAGAGGGCCGTGAACACTTTCAGTTTGACATCTGGGTCGACCTTCGGTGTTGCCAGGCACTCCCTCAGCAGTGGAGCAATCAGGTGCAACTGACTGCCCATAGCGTGTCCTGTAAATATATCGTGGAGCAACAAATAGAAGTGACGCATTTAACTGTGCACGAATAATTATTGCAATTATTATTTTTAATCTATTTAAACTTAACACATAAACGATGCGTTTCATTTCAAACTCCTTGCGAATAAAAAAGCGACCTCTATAAACTGCTATTATCTATGCAAAAAATTATTTTGAAATTCTAGTTAAATCTTCTCTGAGGTAGAGCAGCTGTTGCACAAATGGCAAGGCTCGTCTGAAGAAGTAGCATGGCTTCTAAGAAGATCAATGTGAAGTAGAAAAATTCTAGTGAGTCAAGTAACCGGAGCCCGCTGTTTTTAAAGGTTGATAACATCTGCTAGTGTTGTAATTCGCTACTGTTGCAGATTCCCATGGGTGGCAGTGGTCACTTAATATCAGGCGTATCGCCTGCTCACTTACCATCATTGCATATTTCAGAAATTCTTCTGATATATGATATCTAACTTTAAAACGATGGAATTTACCGGAAATATGTCTAAGCTTTGTTCTAACATTTTTCTCTTGTTTTTATCCTATTGGTAGGTAACATGTAAAACATGTCTCTAATGACGGTTTCGTTCACATTTACGGACTGTAAGGTTATTTGTGAGTTAGTTGTGTCACATGTGAGTTATGTATTGGTAATGGGCCGGCCATATAGTTCCAAGAATCAATAACCAATGGGGAAGAAATGTGGTAGCCGCGCACTGGTCGTCGTTGTATAATTTGATCCCATTCTAGATGGAGTGTCGATCTGTGGAAATATGCGAGAAGTAGATTGCACCCATCTATCTCGGCAGCTCAAGATCGTGCTTCGTAGCAGTCTGTGGTGGAGGACTATGGGCTATTCAGCAGTGGACTTCAATAGGCTGAAATGATGATGATGATGAATAATTAGTCGCACTACTATCGGTATCTTTGTTGCACCAAGCATCCCCCCCCCCCCCCTCCATCACAGCGACACTCGACGCTGAAATAGTTACAAGCCCTGTACGTATGACCGTGGCAAACATACCCCGAAGTACATAACGCGTTGTTAATACATAGCTGCGTACGGTCTGCATCAAAACGATTATACTAAGCTATATCAAATCATTTGGCCTTACTCGGCTAATTATAAATGTGACATTAAACAATTGTAATGGTGAATTTAGAATAGTTACAAATCAACATTAATAATTTAAAACACTACAAATTAAATTACAATTTAAATAGATTTCTTTTTTTTTCTTTTCTTTTTTTAAAACCTACAAGAGTATGCCAATTCTGAATCCGGCACTCACCCGCGTGCAGAAGCACACACTCAAGCAAGCACCTGTCGGGCGTGAGCAGAGTCCAAGTGACGGCGTCGCTAGTGATGGCGGCCAGCACGCGTCCGACGTGACGCTCGTACAGGCTGGTCAGCGTGCGACCACACTGCTCTATATGGCGGAGTTTGTCGAGGTTCGCTGCGGCAATCATTTGTACCGTTTCTATTTACGAGTTAAACTCTAATGCGCCCCAGAAGAAGCTATGATAAATATGTAAAAAATGCAACTCTATGGAAGAGAAAAGTTAAAAATTAAATTTAGAAAATAAGATACATTTGTTATTTACGAAAATATATTGTTAGAAAGAAGTATTGATCAATCCAACTGAATTATGGTATTTTTGCGCACTATTTTTTTTTTCAAAAGTATGTAGTACACAGATCTGAAAAACAGTACGATAATATATATGATATATATTTCGTTTGGAAGCCCTACTCCAAGTCAAGTCGATGAGCTGTGCATAGTTTAGAGGTACTTATCCAGTACCTAAACGTGGGATGATAAGGAAGGTATTGCTGCTCCGTTCACACTGCAGTCGGTCTCGCTCCCACTACACGTTACTAAAAATCTATTAAGATCGTCTCGGCAAAATAGCCTATCAGAAGTACTGTACAATACAGATGGAAATAGACAGATATTTTCAAGAATACGTGTTGGGATTATTGTCACTAAAAGATAAGCAATTTCATTCCTTGAAGAACTTATGGAAGCCTGGAACGGCAACTGGTCAACCGATTTCATAAACAACACTTACACAGAGCCATGAACTGTATCTTCTCGTCGACCGGCATTGAGTAGACTGTGAAGTTAATTATAAACAACTCGTCCGCCACCGAAACGCATTCTTCGCCACAGAGATTCATAAGAGCCTCGGTCACGTGGATAAGATTAGTCTGATATTTAATCTGTGAATGAAACAAATACCATCAATCAAACAACCAATGAATCTTTGCTAATGCTCGTTACAACATTTTATTACAAGGGAGAAAAAGAGATAGAAGAAAAGTAACTTAGAAAGAGAAAAGAAACAACTATACAAGGTGTACTTAAAACAGAGTTTAATCTATCCGCGTTTCGCTTATTATCATTTTTAAGAAGTATCAAACGTGCTGAAGGCGCTATTTTTTTAGATATCATTTACTTTCGTGTTTTATGCTATTCTTATAAGAAGGTAATATTATTAAAAAAGTATAAAATATGTTAAAACAAAAAAAAAAAAGAATTGGAACTATAAAAGATTACGCGTTTACCACGAAATAATAAACTTTATAAAATGAACTTTTTTTCATAGATATGTAAATAATGAAAGAAAGTTTTTTTTACCTTCCTCGTCCTTCCATTTACCGGCGTAACGAATTTAACAATAACAAGGTAAACAGTGATAAATCAATTATGTTTTACAGACTATATGAAGTTACAAGCGTGACAAGCGACAAACCTGCCTCCGTACAACGATGCCCAATATTAACACGTAGAAAATTCAAAACACGAAAACCCAACCCAAGGTTTCAAGTCACGATGTAATTACTTACTGTATTTAAAAAAATATTTTTAAACAATTTTAGGGAATTTATTATAATTATATCCAGGCACAGATTATAAATGTCAACAGATTATACACGTAAACAGCGGCGTACCTTCCTAACTCTGCACCTATCGGGATCGGCCAACTCCTTGCACAGCTCCTGCATAACCTTCCCCGTCACCAACTCGGCCCTGGAGCCTTTCAGGATGTTAGCAACGACCATTAGGGCGGGCCACGAGTCCACGTCGGCTTCGAAGAGCGGCCACCAGGTCTCGGGGCTGATGAAGTAACCGAACAGCTCCGAAGCCCGTTTTATCTGAAGCAGAACGGTTAAGGTCAATTCACGCAATATAGCGGACCGCTTGAAGGCGTCTACACATACTAAAATAAAAAAATAAAAACATTGTTTTAGTACACTTACTAATCTTATTTAAGAGGCTTTTGGTTAAAATGTTTCTTTCAGACTAAGTTTTTTGAGCGCTGAAATTTATATATTTTTTGATTACACACACACACAGTTTATAAGTTGATTTTGTTGAGTGTATCAAATAGGCCAGATAGCTGCATTGATACGTTTTTTTAGCTTCTATCATATTAGCAATATTGCTTGATTTATTTTTTAATTTGCTTGATTTATCACAGAAGTAACTTATTCAGGGGCAGAAAAACAGAGCTAGAGTCGTAGCACTTGCCAAGAACCTATAGAGTTAAAGGATATCTCACATTTAAAATGCAGCAACATAATATTTATTGTAACTTTTTAATAATTTATACAATTAAAATTTGTAGAAAAAAGTACGAAAAGTTTTTTCGCCGCTGTGGGAGTCGAACCCACGTCTTCTGGATTAGCGCCCTAACGCTTTAGCCATTAAGCTAAAGGGCTGATTGCCACTATGACAAAAGTCTCAACGTCTTTTATCTATTTTTTTTTAGCATTTGTAGCATTGCTTGACGCATCCATTGTTATATCCTTTACAGCATACAAACAATTTCGAATATCGTTTTACAACGATAATTCGAACGAGAGATGTCGCCATTGCTTTCTCTACAAATTTTAATGTTTAATCTTAATGCAGAGATTAATTATCACTTCAAAAATTAAAAATTTATAGTTATACACTACATATACTGTGAACTTCAGACGATTCACATGAACACATACATATACGTACACACCTCAACGACTACTCTCGCATCTTCGTCCCCCGCGCCCCTCTGCAGGATCTTGGCAACGGTGTTGGCGTGCTGGGTGGAGCCCTCTTCGGCGCAGAGCAGCAACCAGCACAGCAGCTGCGCAACCCTGAGCCGAGCATCCGTTTGCCAACCATCCATCTCTGTAGATGACCATTCATAAGTCATTTCTGCTTGTCTAAAAGTAAAGTATCAGCCTATACATGTCCCACTGCTGGGCAAAGGCCTCCTCTTTACAGAGAGTATTAGGGCATAGTCCACCACGCGGCCCCACTGCGGATTGGCTGACTTCACATACCTTCGAAATATATTTTTTTTATTATTTCTAAAGCATGCAAGTTTCCTCACGATGTTTTCCTTCACCGCGGAGCACGTGATAATTCGGCACTTAAAATTAACAATTTCATAGGTGCCAGACCTATCACGGCTCTGCTTGTCTAGCTGAAACTATTAAGTAAAGAGAAGCTATGCCTAACTCCTCTGTAGTCCTGAGCAAATAGAATAGGGCTATTGAATCTTCTGCTTATCTGCCCCACAAGACAGCTTCAGAAGGATTTTATGATCACAGAATATTAGGGTGGCTACGAATATGGTACAGTTGAATAAAAGAATGTGCTAAGGCAATGCATTTTCAAGTGCTACGAGTTAAAAAAGGAGCCATATTTTTTACTGTGGTAGGGCTAACTATATTTGCTCTTGCATGAATTGGCAGGTCATTCTGGGTAAGTACCTTAACATCAGGTGAAACGCCAAATCGCTGGCCATCTTCTCACATAAGAAAATAAAATCAGAACACAAACCTTCTGAAAATCATATACATATTAAAAAAAATTAAGAAACTGCCAATATATGTCTCATGTCTCACTGCTGAGCAAAGGCGTCCTCTGTACAGAGGATTTTAGGGCAGAGTCTACCACGCGATTCCACTGTACGATTGGCGGACTTCACATATTTTAGAAATATTTATTTTTATTATTTCGAAAATACGCAGGTTTCTTCACAAAGTTTTCCTTCACCGCTGAGCATGTGATAAGTCAGCACTTAAAATTAACAATTTCATTAGTACCAGGGATCAAACTAAGGTTGCTCAAGTACATTATGCTTATTTTCACAGTATTATGTCTTATGGTGTCTTACTTTGGGGTTCCGCATCCGGTTTAGACACGATATTTGTATTGCAAAAGCAAGCGATACGGGCTGTCTATGGCCTAAGTCCACGTGAGTCCCTTCGGCATATTTTTAAACAAATAAACATCCGCTCCCGTCGCTATACATACTCGAGAATATCATGTATGTACTAAATAACATACACGTTTTTTACAAAAAACCATACTACATGGAGCGGGACCGTGGTGACACGTTGGAAATACCGAGGTTTAGTCTAGCTAAGTGTAAATAATATCAAACATTTTGTAAAAGCCACCTTAATGGAAAGGGCCTATTATAATGTCGAGGAATACATTGAGGACAAGCATGTGTGTAAATGACTCTTACTCTGCACTTGCATGTCCCCTGGCTCCTGCTAAATTATATTAAAATAATTTTGTATATACAGCGTGTTTTTACAATCGCGACAATAAATGAACACACAAGAGGATAACTTTTTAAAATTGTATTAAATATTTAACATACTTTATCCATGAATATTTAGCGAGTTATAAAATTTTCCAAAACAAAGAATTTTAGAACACCCTTAAAGTCCTTTTCATGAAAGAAGTCCCCCAGACGCAGCGCTGTACTCGCGTGACATAGTGTTGCCATTTATGAGTAAAAATTTACCTATTTTACATTTAGCATATGTAATTTATCAAATAATATTATTTCCTGCAGACTTCGACGAAACTATTAAATTGTATTAAGAAATAAATACATATTAGATAGGCTGTAATTTCATTACTCAAGCCAATACTATAACAATAGTTCAGATTAGTGAAATGTATATTTGGGCATTTTTATCAAAATGTCTACCAACCCACTCATGGGATGACTCATGCAATAAGTCCAATTAACTAACGTTATTATGACTATGTAAGTGTCGTGTTATTATTAAATAGTTTCAGTGTTTAGGTGAGAAACTAAAAACAAAGCAATAAAAGCCGACGATTTTTGGTCATGATCAGTACTGGGAAACGTGGGATGTCACATTTCCTAGTTTAAGTTTATTTAAACATAAATTTTGATAAAAATGTCCATTTACATAATTTACTATATTTCTGTTATGTAAAAAGTATATTTTTATTTACTTTTATAAGCGGTGTTCTACCTACTTACAGGGAAAAGATGAGAAAATAGGGTAAAGCAAAGCATTACAATTTTTTATTCAGAGCTTTATTGAATAATTGTGATCAGTGGCCATAGGAACATCACTGTCTGAAGAGTGGATGGAAACTAAATCAGATTCTGTTTCAGTATCACTAGCCGTAGATATAATTATTCGGTCCATCTCTTCATCCATAAGGCCGTCATTTTTTAAATATTCCTCCTCTAAATGTTCGACATGCGTGCACTGAGCTGTCCAATCTTCCGCCGTAATAGACTCAAATGCCTCTACAGTTAATTTTACAATTTCTTTTGGATCGTGTGCCACATTCTTATCCGCCACCTTTCTTTTTACAAGGCTCCAGATTTTCTCCACCGGGTTTAGGTCGCAATAGTAAGGCGGCAACCTTAATACTTCGTGTCCGTGAGCTGTTAATAATTCTTCCACTGCAAATGTCGGTGGACCTTTATGAAGGGGCTTTGTTTAATTGAGTGCAATGGTAAGGAGCGTTGTCCATTACCACAAGCGACCTTTCAGGTAGATTAGGTATTAATTTTTCCGTCACCCATTTTAAGAAATTTGCAGAGTTCATGTCATCGTGGTAATCTGAGGACTTTGATTGGGATTTAAACATTAATAATGCACCATTCATGAATCCATCTTTTGTTCCCGCATGAGCGATTATCCAGCGACTCCCTGATGACTCTGAGACGAACATTCCTGGCTCCTCCTCACTCTGCCAACAACTTTTTGTATGATAAGTATTGTGTATATAGGTCTCATCTGGGGTCTCATCTATACAACGGGTCGTTTTTCCACAGTGCGATTTATTCGTATTTTATCCAAATATCTTGCACGCCATGCGGTAATGTCGTGACGTTCCATAAGTAGTTTGCGTCTGGATTGACATCGCTTGTACTTGAAACCAATCCTATTTAATATCCTGTGCAATGTTGTGATGCTTCCCTGAAAATTGATGTCTTCTCTAAGAGCTGCTCGTAATTTAGCCAAAGTTGGTAATTCTTTATGCACAACGAAAAACTGTGAATTTTTTGCCGGATAGCGCACAAATCGAACCCGTCTAAGTCGAACTTTTTCGGATGCGGGCGACTCTTCCCCGGGGTGACAATTTTTTTCGAAGTACTCGCCGCTGTTATACCTTCTTTTGTAATTCTTGTTATAGTTTTCTCTGACACACCTGCAATTAAAGAATGAACAATTAAAAATAATAGTCACTTTAAGTTTATAATGCTTATGTACTATGTAATATACGTTTTAATTTCGGTTACCTAATTTCATCACGTTATGTATTTGTTCAATTTTGTCGCAAAACGAATTTATATCATAAAAGTCCCATCAATACAGCAAAAAATTATTATATGGCAAGTACCTGTTATGGCGGCGACTCTCTTCCGAACATTGTTCAGTGGTATTAAAACACCTTGATTCTTTTGTTCAGCTTCACAGAATTCTTTCACCTTCAATATCATTTCTCGAGCCGAACTTTTTACAACTTTTGGCATTGTAAATAATCTTTAAAATGCACTAAGCTAGTTTAAAACTCACAAAAATCTACCACAACAAACGAACTTGATAACATCGACGAACGACAACATGGCCGACCTGTCAAATTTAGTTCCAAAAATCACCGCGGGACTTCTTTCATGAAAAGGACTCTACGTATAAAACTGTAACGTAAAGTTCATTTGTAAAGGTCACAAAGCATATGAATGGGTTGAATGAATTTAAAAGAGACAAAACATACTGTGTAAACATACTGTAAGGAGAAGTGTGGCAACGAATAAAAAGTCTCTGAATGTATGAATCAGTCAGTTGTAGTTGTATAGGATGTTACAAATTTTGTTTCATTTTTACTTAATAAGTTTGTTTGAAAAATATTTTTTTTAATTATGGATTTTATTAACGTTAAGATTTTTTTATGATTATTGGCAAGTATGGATGGATGTTTGTTACTCTTTCACGCAAATACTATTGAGTGGATTTGGATGAAACTTTACAATAATATAGTTTATATATCAGAATAACACATAGGCTATAATTTATAAATATATTGTATGAATTGTCCAAAATATAGGTAAAGATGCTGCAAGATATTCTTGTGTATAATAAAAACTCAATGTTAATTCCCTTTGCCCACGCGGGCGAAGCCGCGGTTAACAGCTAGTAAGAAATAAAAGAAACAAAAGAAGATAAATGATGAAAAGAAGATGAGAAGTTCACTTACCTCTTCCAATTGCTGGTACGATTTTGCCAATGTTACTTTGTACTAAGACCCTGCACCCAAAGTTTGGGCGTTTCACATCAGGATAGTGAGATGGCACATCCTGCAGGAAATCCAACTTCTTTTTCAAATCTTCCTCATTCTCTTCTATATATTGGAGGCCGATGTCATCCCAAAGTTTTGTGGCAGTTTCTCTTATATCCGCCATAACATCACTTAAGCTGGAAAAATTGCAATTCAATTTACAGCTACAAATTAATATATTTTACAGTTACATATTACATGGTTTATAGCTTATCAGTACTATACTTACACAAAATTCAGTTTATTTTTAGACTGGACAAACATTTTTATGATCATAAATAACATTTGCAGTCCTAATTGAATATTCACATATTCAATTAGGACTGCAAAATAAACAAATTACAACATATTGGATACAACTATTCTGAAGTACCTTGTAAGTAACAGTGGTATCATACGATGCCAGAAAGAATATCGGTCTCTATAATTCAGCATCCAGTTACCAACCTCCAAAGTAACCTGCATTCGAACTTGAGTGTTTTCATCAAATAGTTTTTCTGCCATTGGTGTTATAGAAAGCTCAAAACATTTAGCATTCCCTGCAGTAACTATTGCACCTGCAATCGTCAAGCATATCTATAATAAAATAGATTTAACTTAACACAAACTAAATAATTAAACTAAAACATGATAAATTTGAGATGACAGAAAAATAATTAAGTAATAATAGAGAACTGGCTTTGATGATAGAAATTTAATTTTGTTAATTTTCGTTCCTAACAGTTGTGATGATTTGCTAATTTACAAAAAAGCTTATAACATTAAAACACGTAGAAAAATACGAAAAGATTGTCGCCGCTGTGGGAATCGAACCCACGTCTTCGGCATTCGCGGCCTGACGCTCTAGCCACTGAGCTAAACGGCTGATAGCCACAGCGATGAAACTCTTAACGCCTTGTTTCTACATGCTTATTTAGCATTTGAAGCAATGCTTGGCGCATCTATTGTTATATCCTTTCCAGCATACAAACAATTTCGAATATCGTTTTACGATAATTCGAACGAGAGATGTCGCCATTGCTTTTTCGTTCGAATTATCGTTGTAAAACGATATTCGAAATTGTGAAGACGAGGGTTCGATTCCCACAGCGGCGACAATCTTTTCGTACTTTTTCTACATGTTTTAATGTTCAATCTTAAGTGCAGAGATTAGCACTATAAAAAAATTTTAAAAATTTATAAAAAGCTTATAATTTTAATAATTTCGAAATATTAAAAAAATTTATAATTTTCTATTCGAATTGTGCAACAGAAGACAAACTTTTTTTTTATATTTAGGACACATTATTTTTACACACACATATTTCCATTTTTTTGTACTATGGGTACTAGAAAACTGATAGACATATTTAAACATACTTTTCTTTTGTAAATAAATACACATTATACATATATACACACCCAGACACTAAGAAAACACTATGCTCATAAGACAATATTTTTTTAGTAGTGGGGATCTAACCCACACCCTCTGGCGCAGAAGGCAGGTACAATACCGACTACGCCATTTGGGTTGTCGCCATTCGGGTCGTCAGTCGTCTTTATGTGCTTGAAAGTGCCAATGCATCAGTAATACAATAAGATTCAATAATCTTTTACTGGCAATATTTGTTTGTTACTTTTTAATACAATAATATAGTTCATAAATAATAAGTTAAATCAAGCATAGAAAACTTAAATAACCTAAAGTATACCTATTGCTTTTACAGCTGCAACCCGCACTCTAAAATGTTGATGTGCAAAATTTGTCAACACAGGCTTAATATAGCTCTCCGATTGGAAATGAAATTCCCTTTGCAATATATTGGACAACAGAATGATGCATTCACATGCCTCCACCTTGACTTTCGGAAAAGGATCGGTACAAGTCTTTGTCAGTATACTAGTAAAATCATTAATAAATGGGGCCAAGTGATGAGTCGATTTATATTTCTCTATTATTTTGTGGACCAGCTCTATTAATAACAACCGAATTTCTTCAGATTCTTCTACAATTTCTGCACAGCCGATGCGACGTACTATCACGGGTAATATATATGTTAAATAGTAGTCATTAAAAGGCAACCTTTGTATAAAGTTTGCAATAATCACTGCACTCATTTCTCTACAGCCTTCAGAGGGATCTGAAAAACCTTTTAGTATATAGGCGTATATCTCAGGAAAGATAATCGTTAAATCACAGTCATCGTTCAAAGGGTTTTCAAAAATCTCGTTGTTTATCTTTTGAAAAGCTTTTTTTCGAGCCAGTTTTGATTCATTTTGTAAAGATATTATATATTGTTCTAAAGCCCCTCTTGGGTTATCTTCTAATTCTTGTTTCTTATTGGACATATTTAGTCGTTTCCACGAAATTAGATGTATTATTGATTAAACAAATCAGATATATAAAAGTACTCTTTGAAACAAATGCAAAACCAAGAATCAAATGAAAATCGGATGACGGAAATTGCATAGGTATTAATAAACAAAAACATTTTTCCATGACAATGCTGACGTTTGCGTTTTTTAATTAGCTATGAAGACATCAATTTAAACATTTCACGGAAAAATGTCAAAAAATTGCTGACCGTTTTCCCCCACGGATCAGTAAAAATGTTTTAAACTTTCACGGCTAATAATTTAATATAATATTGATAAGGTTAAATCTATCTAAAATTACATATTATGTAATAAACCTAATCCATGCGGCATGGTCCCAAGAACGCTAGCTGCATTTCCTCGCTGAATAGTTATGCTTAACCTTTGTGCGAGAAAAGAACCAGCTCTCTTGTCACCAGCCGCGGCGTTCAGCCTAGGACATAAACTTTTAAAAAAATTTGATGTGCGGGGATCCCAAGGACCTAAAGTTTCAACAGCAAATGGCACAAATAAATAATCTAAACATGAAGACTCATATTTGCGCCATTTACTTACTTCAGCTGCCTCCGATGCCGCCCAGGCCCTGACCGAAGTACCCCTTAGATGAGAGGCAGCCAAAGTGACAAGTAGCGTCTCAAACAAGGGCTTTGCCTCTCTCTCAGGGATCAAAGTTAAACCATCGGGTCTCTTAGCATCTTCGCGAAAAAGCCACAGGGCTCTAAAATAGATGGAACATTGATGGAAACAAGAGCTCTACGGATGATGTCGTTCAGGGAACCATGGCGGGAAAAGCGGCCAGCTGAACGGGGACCTCCCCCGATCGTGACGTACCTACGTCACGATCTAAAAGTCCCTTAGAAGGAGATTTTCATCCTGTCTTGATCCACAATTAATAGTGGAACCTACCCAGAGGAGGGCAGCTGCAGACCTGTTGCTGCAGATGAAGGTGTCAAAGCTGATGGACTAACAACTTGTTTTTCTTTTTTCTGCCTCCATGCTACCTAGATGGAATATGGGCTACGTATTTTTCTACAAGTCGCCTACCATACGTCATCACTCTTTTGGAATAAACACTCAGATCCAGAGCAATTCCAATTCCAATTCCAATTTTAGGTTTATGGTTCCATCAATATATAACTTGATGATTCTGCTAATGTCAAGGTTGAATAAAACAAAGAGTTACTAATATAATTAGTCGGTAATATTGACTTTTAAAAAGTAGGTAGACAATTACACGTATCCGGTTGAGTTACCTGAATGAGGACAAAACAATAAGTTAGTTTATATATAATTTTTCAAATATGATTAATTAAAAAAGTAAGTAGTTAAGGACGATACTCTAGGACAATATTTAAAAAAGAGATAAAGAAAAACAATATTAACCAAGGAAAAGAGTGGAGGAATAGGGGTTAGAGCTTGATGTTATTGCTACGAAGGAATTTGTATAATAAAACTTTGATAAAAGGGGATTCAGTAAGAGTTAAAAGGAATGGGATATTAACAGGCCTAGGAAAGTTGTGAGGGAGAATATCATAGAGAGGGGTTACAATGTTTGGGCAAGAAAAAAATAGGTGTTCTAATGTACCCTCAGCCAGGCCACACTGGCAAATTGAGTGGTCGCGTATATGGAGTTTAGCCAAAAAAACTGGGGAGCAAACATGTCCTAATCGAAGACGTATGATCATAGAGGTAATCATCCTATCTAATAATTTATATTTAAAGAACCAAGGTCTTGATGGAATAATTGGCTGAATATTACCATAATATTTACCTTTTATCAATTTAGAGCGTTGCCACAAATTATTCCAAGATTTCATTAGACATGGCTTAGCCAAGGAGCGTAGGTCACGGGCGGGGATACTTGAGTGACAAGTGTAACCTATCTGAACAGCTTGTTTAGCATAAGAGTCGGCGGCTTCGTTCCCCCAGATACCCAAGTGACCTGGGATCCATGCTAACACAATCTTGACACCGGCTTTTTCCAAATTACACAATATTTCTTTAGCTCTCAAGGTATATACTGAGTTAAATTTACTATGAAATAGGAGCTTCCTCAAGTCTTCCAAACAGCTACATCAATCACTTAATATCAAAGATTTACTGAAGTGGGTTTGGTTAGCATCTATATATTTAATGGCTTCCAAAATAGCTATTAACTCGCCAGTGAAAACAGAGCATTCCATGGGACATTTAAAGCTTAAAACAACATTATATTTTGCAATGAAGACTGAGGCACCTACGTGGGAATTCTCTGATTTGGAAGCATCTGTGAATATCAGAACCCAGTCCTCCCATTCATTATTTATTATTGTTTTAAAATGGGTATTGGCATCTATTGAACTTTTATTTAACCCTAGGTTTAAAATGATTTTTGGTTGGAAAATAAGAGCATCATAGTTAGTTGTGTAAAGAGGGTGGTTTTCTAATTGAAGGATAGGAGTTTTCGAGTAAAAGTAACAGCGTGACATTTCGGAATGGATAAATTTAGACTGTGATCTGAAAGCCAAATATTTAAGTAGTGTAAAGCAGTGTTTAATTGTGAGCATCCTTCTGGAAGAGAGGAGCAAGTGGTGTAGAGGGCAATGTCATCCGCATATTGGAGAATTTTACAGAAGGAATTAACGGTCGTGTTAAGGTCGGAAGTATACAGATTATATAATAGGGGACTTAGAACTGAACCCTGGGGAAGGCCTCTCCAGACAAGACGTGGAGGAAGGATAGAGCCAGAAGAGCGAACACATATGCTCTATATGTGTTCGCTCTTCTGGCTCTATCCTGACATGAGAATAAATTAAAGATTATATTAACCAGTCTCACAGGGATACTCAGTTTAAGCATTTTCTGCCTGAGTATCGGAAGCTGGACATTATCATAGGCAGAGGAGATGTCAAGGAAGACTGCAATGACATGTTTATTGCGAGAGAAAGCAAGCCTAATTTCAATCCGTATTGGCTACTTGACAGTAGACCTCTGTTTTCGAGAATCCACTCAAGTCTATTTTTTATAAAGTGTTCTAAGATTTTAGCCAATACAGAGGATAAGGCAATGGGTCGATAGGATGTAGGGTTATTAGGATCCTTATTGGGTTTTAAAATTGGAATAACTATGTGGGTCTTCCACGGATTTGGGACTGACCCAGAAGAAAAGATTTCATTAATAATATTGAGAAAAAATAATTTTGAAGAGCATGAAGATTTAAGTATAAAAGAATAAGGAATACCGTCTACACCTGGAGAGGAATCTTTGGGGTTGTCAAGAGCACAACAAAGCTCAGAATAGGAGAAAAGGTCATTCATTCTATCAGGTACAGAAGAAGGGATATAGGGAATGGGTAAACAGTCATAATAAGGAACAAAAGGAGGGGCTAGTATGTTTACAAAATTATCTAACCAAGTAGAAGGATCATTGGAAGAGGTATTACGATCAATGAAAGTTCCCCGAAAAATTGGTAATTTTTTGCCACACAATAGAAATGGAAGTACAGGGAGACAAGGACTCACAGAACCTACGCCAACCTTCAGATTTCTTTTTAGCTAAAAACCTTTTAGTTTTAGCACAGGTTTTCTTAAAGTCAAGGTGGTTCTCCATGTTTAGATTGCAAGCATATTTTTTCTCAGCATTGTTCCTAGCTCTAATAGAAGCGGTACACTCAGAATCTCACCAAGGAGGAGAGGGGATGCGCCCACGGAATGAATTTCTTAACGGTATAGACTCTTCAGCTGCTGAAATCATACATGAGACAAATTCATTATATAAAGCCGAAAAATTAGATGAGTTGAGAGGAGGGAGATGGAGTATTTTAGAATCTAATTTAATAGAAAATTTATTCCAGTCAGCATCAGATAGTCTAAATCGTTGTAAAGGGGGCACAGTAGGAAGAGAGGGAGAATTTTGAAGAGATTGGATTAAGATGGGGAAATGTTCACTGCCATAAGATTTAGGTAAAATAGACCAAGAAAGAGAATTAACTAGGGAAGGGGATGAAAGGGTTAAATCAGGGGCATTGGAGTTCTGCCCAGGAGGGGTTCTTCGTGTTGCAGATCCATTATTTAAAATACAGAGATTATTATCATCTAATAAATCTAATAGGAAGGAAGAAGCAGTGTCTACATGATGAGACCCCCACATATGATGGTGGCAATTGAAGTCTCCAGAAACAAGAAGAGGGCCAGGGATAGTGGAAAGAATACTACTTAATTCAGTAATGACAATGCTATTAGGGTGAGGGATATAACAAGAAATGTAAGAAATATTTTGAGATTTAATTGCGACTATGTGAAGATCAGGATCAGGGGGGTAAGGGGTCCGGAATAACATCTAACAGACCCAAATGTCAACCCCACCTGCACGCGCTCGATGGCGGCGGCGGCCAAAAGGACGCCGTGGTACCCCCTGCTAGACAACCAACGGGGCTCTGGCGACCGAGTAAATGGCGGGATAACCATTCCCCCAACCGGCTCACACCGGTTAGAAGAGGCCTAGCAAGCCTTGAGGTCTAAATAACCTCATAAAGCCGCAGTGCAGAAAGACGAAGGGTGCTACTGCATAAAACAAGACCCTAAGAATAACACCGCACGGGAGAAAAAAAAAAAAAACACCACATAACATGATTAGTACAAATAAAAGGAATTATTTGCCTGGTGAACCGGCTAGCACCCGGCGTTGTGGGAGTACCGGGCTCTCAGATGTGAAATATACTACCGGAGAAGAAAATATGAAACAAGAGGAAAATAGGATCAACATGAAATTGAAGAACCAGCAACTGAAGATAGCTACATGGAACGTAAGGAGCCTTATTAAGGCGGGTAAAATCGAGAATACCATTCAAGAAATGAAAAGACTAAACCTAGATATCTTGGGGTTAAGTGAGATTAAATGGTCGGACAATGGAAAAATCGATAAGGACGATACAATAATGTACCACTCTGGAAAGCCTGCCGCTGAGAAAGAACATCACCATGGAGTTGGAATTATGATAAGGAAGGAGCTTGCTAGATACGTTACCAACTTTGTCCCACACTCAGATAGATGTATGCTGTTACAATTTAGTGCCCGCCCCTTCAATCTTAATGTTCTACAAGTATACGCTCCCACTGCCGAGAAAACGGATGATGAGATAGAATCCTTCTACAGACAAGTTGAAGAAGTGATGGACAGTATAAAATCACAAGAAGTAATTATAGTACTTGGAGACATGAACGTTAAAATCGGGAAAGGGGCAGTAGGCAAAACTGTTGGAAACTTTGGCCTAGGACAAAGAAATGAAAGAGGCGATAGACTCCTACAATTTTGTGTAGAAAGAGACTTAGTTCTTACAAATACATGGTACAAGCAACCACCACGGAGACTATACACATGGATCTCGATTATGGATAAAACGGATCGCATAGTAAGAAACCAATTAGACTACATAATGATCCAGACAAGATTTAGAAATTCTGTTATAAATGTGAAAAACATACCCAGGCGCTGACATTGGATCGGATCATAATCCTCTCGTAGCAAAATTAAAGTTTAAAACTCAAAGTATTGAGCAAACCACATAATTTTGAAAAAATTGATATTGACAAACTCAAAATTTAGACATAAAACTCAAAACACAACAACTATTAGATGAAGAGCTCCAGAAATTGACAGAGACAGTAAAGTTGATTGATATAGAAGAAACCTGGGATAAGATTAAAACTGGAATTATTAATACTGCAAAATCATGTTTAGGACATAGAAAACAAACGAAAAAGCTAGAATGGATTACAAAAGAAATTTTAGATTTAATGGAAGAGAGAAGGAAACATAAAGAAATAGACAAGACTAAATATAAAGAGATAGATATAGTGATCCGATCAAAAATCAGAGAAGTAAGAGATAAATGGTATAAAGATAAATGCGAAGAAATAGAAACATTGGAAAAGAATCACGATAGCTTCAATTTGCATAAAAAGGTCAAAGAATTTACAAATACTCATAGAAAAAAATTAACGGGAAATCTAATAAATGCAGAAAATGTGTTAATTATAGATCAAGAACAACAATGTAAGACCTGCGAAAAATATGTAAAAGATCTGTTTGGAGATGAGAGAGAGATGGTAAACTCGCATGGGGAAAGATATCAGCTTGAACATCAACTGGAAGGACCCCCCATACTTAAAGGGGAAGTAGAAAAAGCCATTAATTGCATGAAGAATGGAAAAGCGGTTGGCCCAGATAGAGTGCATGCAGATATGTTGAAATTACTATTAGATACCGACAGTTTGCAGTTATTGATAAAACTTAACAATAATATTTATGATACGGGAAATATCCCAAACGACTGGCTTCAATCCTCCTTTCTCCCAATTCCAAAAAAGTCCAATGCAAAGAGATGCGGTGATCATAGATTAATTAGCTTAATGAGTCATGCCCTTAAGGTATTCTTAAAAATATTACATCTTAGGATATACAATAAAATTGATAAATATATATCAAACACGCAATTTGGTTTCCGTAACGGATTAGGAACTAGAGAGGCCCTTGTCGCCATACAGGTGCTGATACAGAAGTGTCGAGAATTTAGCAAGAATGTGTATGCATGCTTTATAGATTTTGAAAAAGCGTTTGACAACGTTAAACACGGAAAATTGATGCAAATTTTAAAGAGGACCGAAGTAGATAGTAAAGATATCAGACTAATAAGCAATTTGTATTGGAATCAGACTGCACATATTATAATAGGAGATCACAGAACGGGGAACTTACAAATTTTAAAAGGGGTAAGACAGGGATGTATTCTTTCACCATTACTGTTCAATCTTTACTCAGAAAACATTTTTAATGAAGCTTTTGATGGAATAGAAACAGGCATCAAAGTCAACGGTACCGTAATAAATAATCTGAGATATGCTGACAATACCGTTCTTCTGGCACACTCACTCGAAGACCTGCAGTATCTGCTTGATCGACTGAACACAAAAATATTAGAGTACGGTCTAAAAATGAGCATATCGAAAACCAAATACATAATTTTTAACAAGAAGAAGATAGTGCCAGATACATTAAAAATAGCAAACCAAACCATCGAAAAAGTTGAAAAATATAGATATTTGGGAACCTGGCTAAACGAAGACTCCGACCCTAAAAAAGAAATCCGTACGAGAATAGAAATCGCCAGGTGACATCACACTTAAACTCAGATGGAGAATGGTGAAGTGTTACGTTGTGTCAGTGCTTCTGTATGGGGCCGAGGGTTGGACGCTAAACAAAAGTACCGAATCAAAAATTAACGCCTTCGAAATGTGGCTGTATAGACGTATGTTGAGGATTTCATGGAGAGATAGAATAACGAATGAAGAAACAGCTAGAAATATTGGTAACTATTAAAAAACGTAAAACCGCGTATTTTGGACATATATATAGACATGAGAAATATAACATATTGAAAAATATAATTGAAGGAAAAATAGAAGGAAAACGGGGAAGGGGACGAAGACGAATAACATGGAGTGACAATTTGAAAAAATGGACAGATATCAAGAACGCCGTCAGTCTTTGTAGATTGGCGCAGAATAGAGAAGAGTTCCGTATGGTGGTCGCCGACATCCGATAGGATAGGGCACCCCAGAAGAAGAAGAAGATCAGGACTGTGGTTAGGAATATGGATTTGTGAGAAGGTGATGGATCTTGAAACTATAAGGGCACAACCTGCCTTGCCATCATCCCTGTCATTTCGGAGGCACGAATAACCTGGAAGCCTAAAGATGGATCTTGGTCTCAACCAAGTCTCCGAGATAGCAAGGACAATGGGTTTAAAACGGTTAATTAATGAAGTAAGATCGTGTTTTTTGTGGCGAATGATCCTACAATTCCACTGAAGAATTGTCGCCATTTTTAGTAATTAAGCGTTCGAGCAGTTGTTGAAGTAGGGTAATGACATTGTTCGGTAAGGCATCTGAAAATTTGGATATAATGTTTATTAGGGAGCAGGTAAGAAGTTCAATGAGGTTGTCATTGGGGGTAAGCATTGGGGTGGACTCTATGAAGGGAGAGGATAAAGCACAACCATTAGGTTGTGGTGACTGAGGAGAGCTTATTACATTTTGGGGGGCTGAGACATCATAGGTCTTGCCCAGAGAAGTTACGGGACGTGGAGATTTAGACAGGGTTTTGGAGTAAGAGGTCTGGGAGTTGGATTGTGGAGTAGAAAGTAGGGGATAAGTAGTTTGCTGAGATAATTGAAATGACTGAGATTTTTGGGATTTTTGAATCGGATAATGATGTTGAGGGGAAGAGCTGGCCATGTCAGCATAGGGATGTCTGGAAGGGGGAAACCTGAGAGCGGCTTCTGAATAACTTATATTGCCCTGAGACATCACAATTTTAATGGACTTTTGTCTAGAATGCTCAGGACATTTGGAATCAGTTGCCCTATGATTTCCATTGCACAATATGCAAGAGGAATTGATTTCACTGATAGTACAGTTATCTCCAGTGTGACTCTGCCCACAGCGATAGCATCTTGGTTTAGACCTGCACTGAGACCCAATGTGTCCAAATCTACAACAGTTTCTGCATTGAATAGTAGGTAGTTGATATGTGGAGACTGGAAGGGATGATTGATAGCAGTATACTCTTTCAGGAAGAGTTTGGCCCAAAAATGTAAGGACTACAGTGGTAGAAGGAACCCAGGTAATTTTATCATCTGTTCTTAGTTTTGTATTAAGTCGGCGAGCCCTAATAACTTCTCCGCAATTGGAGGGAGTCTTAATGTTCTCTAACAATTCTTCAAGTGTCCAGTCAGTAGGAATACTTTTGACCACTCCCATGCGAGTAATGTGGAATCTTGGAATAACAGCATTAAAATTATTTGTAGGTAGAAAATCATTAGACAGGAATTTATTAGCCTCTGAGTAAGATTTAAATTCAATTGAAAACTTGTTTCTCCCCAGTGTATTTATGCCTCCTTCTGCTATACCCGGCACTTTGTTTTTGTGTATAAGTTGTGCAAATTTAAGTAGCCTGATTGGCAGGCCAGATGACAATTCAGGTTCAGATTTGGTGACGTGTACAATGAATGGAGATTTGTCATAGTCGCTGTAACCTAGTTTGGAGTCACTTTCGTAACCTTTTTTGGAGTATATTGATTGATAAGAGGTCGAGGGTGGAACCACTTTTTTTTTGTCGGAAGTTTCTATATTTTCTGCCGGTCGCTTACGGTTAGTATTAATATTTGGGTGCGTTGTGACGATGGAGTCACTAGTATCCATTTTATTATCGGCAGGGCGACCTCCTCCCCCCTCCGGTGGTTTGTCTTCGCCCAATTCCCTCATGGGGAATTGGGGTGGAACGTAAACTTAAAAACACTTACCAATACCACAGAAACCACCACCAAACACTCACAAAAGAAACAATTTTAGGCATTTGACTCAAAGGGATAAAGGTTTAAATCGAAAATCACTCAACAACGTGTTTACATCAACACATTGACAAGCAGAATCTCATCCAGAGCAATTATGTGTCGACAAATCCGTGTCAGGTGTTCACTGACACGTTATTAAAACGACCGCCGGCGCTGCTGAAGCCAAAAGCTGAGAAACAGCTCAACCGGGTCTTCGGGATACCTACATCTAAAAGCTATACAAAAAAATCTGGGATAGGTGTGGTAAATACAGAACTCGAGTTGCAACACTAATTTTGAAACGTGCACCAATCAAATCCAGCCAAGTAAAGCTGTCAACGTCTTCAAATTCATGAATGGACGAGACTCTTCTACTAAGGCATTTTCATTTTAGTTTTTATACATTTTTCTACATAGCATTTTTCTGCTTAGTAGACAGCTCTTAAATAAAAGTTTGCTCACAGTAAAGAAATAACGCAACCATGTATAAATTAAGTGCGATTTATTTACTCATTTTGGCGACAATACTGCAAATAACTCTTGCTTTAAAGGAAGGTGAATGCGAGGTTTGTGTTAAAACTGTTGAAAAATTCGCGGCCACGTTATCTGATAATGTAAAGAAGGACCCAAAATTAATAGAAGCAGAGTTCAAGAAATTTTGTAAAGGCTCTAAGAACAAAGAGAATAGGTTTTGTTACTATTTAGGTGGTTTAGAGGAATCCGCGACCGGCATTCTGGGTGAGCTGTCGAAACCTCTCAGTTGGTCAATGCCCGCGGACAAAATATGCGAGAAATTGAGAAAAAAAGACGCTCAAATTTGTGATCTACGTTTCGACAAGCAAATTGACTTGAACAATGTCGATTTAAAGAAACTGAAAGTGCGTGACCTCAAGAAGATTTTAAACGATTGGGATGAGGTTTGCGACGGCTGCATAGAAAAGACAGACTTCATTAAAAGAATAGAAGAGCTAAAACCCAAATATATGGGTAGATCTGATTTGTAATGTAGTAATACAATAGGTGAGATTTATTTTGTCTATTATAATTATATGAGTGTACATATGTTAATTTTAGTTAACTTTATTTTTAAGATATTTATTATATAATAATCCTAAGTATATATCCAATAAGAAAATGGTTTTTAAAATTAATTACTTCCTAACATGACTAACATTTTATTACACTATTCATATTAAAAAAAAAGTTCTAAGATCCTGTGGCATATTATCCTCAATGAAATTGTATATAAGTGACGTGTTGCTGTATCAATCATGTTTATTTATTTACATGCTTTATTCTGTTTAGTAATTTTATAGTATTTCTGAATGTGTTGGTGATATTGTTGACTTAAGCTAATATATTTTACATCACAAAAAATAAAATTATTAGTTTAAATACTCACTATACATTTAATCAAATTTAAGAGGAAATATCCTTAACAAGTGACAATAACTTAATAAAAAGTTGAGGTAGAAAGTAATTGAGATAGGATATTCGAAAATTACCTAAAATTTTGATAAATGTAAAAATCATTGAAAACAAAAGGTTCTAGAAGTCATCCAGTTAACAGATATTACTGAGCAGATTTAGCCAATCAATCTGTATTTATTTTATTTTGTTTCAGATAAATTGTTCTCAAGACAAAATGTGATATGAACTCCAATATCGAGCAAGCTACAAAAGATCCAGGAGATCAATCAAATTTTGCATTTTATGTGTTATGCATGAGTTCTTGTGAATGATGTGTGTATGCAATAAACTAAATTATTATTGTATTTAAGTAAAATATTTTTCATAAAACAATTCTTTTATTACCTATGATCAAGTTTAACCGGATAACATTTATTGTGGGACATTTTTTCATTACTAAATAATGTAGTCTATTAAAACAAAAAAAGCTGCTTTTGTTTTATAGCTACATAGCTGATCCACTTGCATTTGATGAAGGTTGATTAGGGCCAAGGATGACTAGCCTTGTGTCCAAACACCATAATTTTTTTTAAATATTTATAGATGGGTAGAGGGTATATAACCTATGTAACATCACTCTATAGTAAATAAGTACCCGGAAGACCGAGCTTTGCTCGGTTTGTTTTTTTTTTTTTTCGGTAAATCGTGTATTTTGGAAATTACATTTAGATACAAATTACTGAGTAATGAAATATGCATAATATTTTTTGATCTTACCGACGTAATAATAAGAAAACTGAACTGAACTGATGTTTTTCACAAAAGAAAGAACTTTAAAAAACAAGGGAAAAAAAATAACAAAAAAACAAATCGACAAAAAATTAAAAATAAAGAAAGCAATGATCTCGAATCGAAAAAAAGTAAAAAAAATAAATGTGTGAATAAATGATCGTGACGCGAACCACGGCCGTCGGTTTCGGGGCCGCCCGATTACCGACCTAGCTATTACGACATTTTCTTTTGTGGCGAATTCGAATTATATTTTTCATTCCCTGAAAACAGGGATAAAAGGACATTTTCTAAAAATGAAACCTAGTTAGATCGATTTTTCGCCCACGAATCTACGCACATACTAAATTTCATGAAAATCGCTGGAGCCGTTTCCGAGATTCCAATTTTATATATATATACAAGAATTGCTCGTTTAAAGGATAAAGAGATGTATTTAAAAATATATATGAACGAAAAAAAAGTAATGAAGTGCATAAAATAATAAATAAAGTGCAAATAAGTGTCTTATTATTAGTAGTTATTATGTTATTGTCCTTGAATTGATGTATTCACTTTGTGTTAATCTTAATCTAGTTTATCATTTACAATAAAATTTTTTGGTATGTATGTATTTGGTTTCATTCTATATTACTGTGTTTTTTGAAACTAAATAAAATATTCATTCATTTGAACTTAAATTACTACTGCAGTAGACAACATGCTGTATTAGTTCAATGTCCTGATGCTCACTTTTAATTTGGTATACCAAAGCAATTTAAGTTCAATTCCCAGTGCGAACAATAATGGAATTGTTAATTGCGTTTTTAAAAACTAATTTAGCACCTAAATAATAAAGGAGAACATTGTAAGAAAACCCTACATCATCATCATTCCACTGCTGAACATAGGCCTCCCCCATAGACTGCCATGAAGTACAATCCTGAGCCACATGCATATTTTTAAAAAAAAATTTTTTTTTTTTTTTTTTTTTCAGATATAAAGGTCACCAATTCAGTTTGATAGTATGGTGGACTACACCCTGATACTCTCTGTATAGAGGAAGGGCTTTACCCGATAACAGGACAATTTTAAATAAATAAATATTTTAGGACACATTTTTACACAACATTTTCTAGTCCCAAACTAAGCAACACTTGTACTATGGGTACTAGAAAACTGTTAAACATACTTTTCTTTTGTAAATAAATACATATTATAGATATATAAACACCCAGACACTAGAAAAACACTATGTTCATCACACAATATTTTTCCAGTAGTGGGGATCGAACCCACACCCACTGGCGCAGGAGGCAGGTACACTACCCACTACGCCATTCGGGTCGTCAATTATATACAAAGGTGTTACTTTAGCCAAGATGCATTTAAATAACATTGCTTTGAAGGGCTTTAGAAATTGTAACTTTAGCTTGCTGTAAATGATTGCACTGCAAGTAATAGCCAATGAGCATTAAATCTATTAATTTTCTAAGTAATTGTAGTCCAAGTGCAAATATTCATGAACTTGATTAAGATGTTCTAGCCCCACTAACCCACCCAAACATTTTTCCAAAGTAATTAAATTTTTAGAATGTTGAGGTATGTTGAAATAAACTGACAATCAGAGAAATAACTTTTTACTATTTTATTTGTTATAGATCAGAACAGAATGTACCTAGAGCACTATGCATGCACAATTTTTAACTCAATTTAATAGATATTTATGAAGTGCCACCGCTCTGCAAGCCTAAACATTTGGCAATGTTTAGTGGTATTTGTAGTTCCTGTGGTGCTCTGAAAAAGAAATTTTAAATTAGAAGAAATACCATAGAGAATCTATAAAAGCAGTAACATTTTAATTGGTCATTTTTACCAGGTCCATTCAGTTTATCAATTAATAGCAAGTTTTTATCCTTCTTCATTAGCTGTTTTTTGACTATTAAGATGCAGATAAAGCTTACAAAGCTTATTATTATTAACCTTTACTTTTATTAAATTTATAATATTAATGAACAGTAAAGTTATCTAATAAATGAAGCAGTTGTCAATGTATTAGTTTTGGCACTGGGGGTTGTGGATCTGATTCCGACACAGCATCGATTTGTGAGATCCACAGATAATATCTGTCAAATGTGGATGATGTCCACATGAAATTTATATTTGTAAAACATCCTTACAAGACTGGATCATATAATATAGTGTTGCATATTGATAGTCTGCTATGGATAGACAGTCAATTATCTATCAATAGTTAAGGTAAAAGCAATATTATCAATAGTCTATCGACAGTATTCACTTAGATAATATTATTGATAGTACAATCAATATCCTGAATAGTTTTCGAGGTCAACTATCAATAGTCAAACTATCGATGGGTGTGCAACACTAATGTAATCCTACAGTAGGGGCATTGTAGCATGTTTTTTGAAGATAATAAAAAAAATCATGAATTTTAGTTAACTAAAAATGAATATTAAACAAAGGTTTGCAACTTACTGATTTTGCCATAGTTGATCACATAGAAGAAAGTCATTGAGCCCACAAGCAGTTGAAAGAAGGGAGCCATGCCACATCTTTTTGGCTGCACATATTTATGTTGCCACCTCCACCAAGCTGTTAAAAATAATCACAAATATACATATGATGTTAATTAAGTGGGGATGGTAATTTATACAAGCACCTGAGCTTTATGTGTAACCAAATTGCTACAGATATAATCTGAAGAATGTGGATGGTTTATAATCACCCACAACTAGACATCAACTTTATTTATATTCAATATCATCATCTTTCAAGATAATTTCTTCATGATGATCAGCCTCAAGTCGTTTACATCATTACATTTATAGAACCTGGATAACCTGGATACCTGCTCGGTATTTTAAAAAAAAGTAAAAAAAAATAAGTGTGAAAATGATCATGACACGAACCGCGGCCTTTTGTTTCGGGGCCGCCCGATTACCAACCGCTATTATAACATTTTTTTTTTTCATTTCATGAAAATCGCTGGAGGCGTTTCCGAGATTCCAATTATATATACATATATATATATATATATATATATATATATTACAGGATACATTACAGGTCCCCCTGGTTAAAAAATATTTGAATACCAGGATAATAACCTCAAATTAAAGATAAGAAATTACCTCTACTACAGGCGCCCATTAAAGCCGATGGAGTCTTGTTTCTGCGGCCGAACCATGCTCCAATCTCGTTCAGCTTGAGTTGCCCAAAGGGGGTATCAGCTGTAAAAACATGAAAGATTAGACATTACATAATCGAATATTAGACAAACCCGGGCTGAAATAAAATACATCAACTCACGTTTGCCATAGTATCGGGCCGGATCGTAAGGGCCATGAACTGCTGGGTTATACTCTTTAGGATAATCTCCGAAACCCATGGTTTTTCGGATCTACCAATTTCCAATAAAAATGGAACGAATGATGACTTTGTAACAGACTATACCACAATATTTTAACGGGGGCGGGGTGCGATGTCAATGTCAAATAAAATAAGCGTCAATATCTTATCCTTTAAACGCTTAGCTTTATTACATAACATATTTTTATTAATTAAAAAAAACTGCGGCATTTAAAATACAACTTGTTCTGCTTTTCATTCTAAGACATATACGAGTGAATTTGATAGATGATATGGAAAGAGATAGCAGTATAGAGTATAATAAAAATAATAATCGCCATCACCATACACAATCGCGAGGTGTGCTGCGTCCGCAACTACTTCCTGGTGAGATCGGATGAGTCAATCTGCACGGACGACATTAGTTGTGATAAAGGACTGACCCCTCTATCCTTAGCCAACGCGCAATGGCAGGAACTGGGAGTACTGAGCGTTTCCGACTGAGAGACCGTATGGAAAGAGAAAGAGCTCCACGGGAGATCTACAAGGGTCTACACGAGCCTTTCGTAGATACTGTTGCCTTCCTTAACTGGCTACGTTTCAGTGACGTCTTTGTGGAAACCGAAGGTTTTATCTGTGCGATACAGGATCAGGATAGTAAGACGAACAACTATCGGTAATACATCCTAAGGGATGGCACCGTCGGCATCTGTCGAGCTTGTCGCCATCCCGGGGAGTCGCTTCGGCATGTTATCTCCGGTTAGTCCATTTGTTGTGGTTGTCCATGCTTTCTAACTCTGAGTATTTGCATAGACAAAACCTAGTAGCCAGAATCCTACACCTGGAGCTCGTTCTGAAATACGGCCTCTTGTAGCGGAAACTGCCGTACTATAAATATTCTCCGGAGGTCGTGCTCGAAAATGACCGGCTCACGAGGTGACCGACATGTGGGGTGGTGTGCCGACTGAAATTATCCCGATAGTCGTGTCTGCTAATGGGTTAATCCCAGTTAGCCTCTCCGGATATCTGAGACGAGTGGGACGGGACGCTCGCTCCGGGATGAATCGCACCGAGCTCAAATGCAAAAGGCGGTGCTCTTCGATACTGCCCGCATCGTCCGCCGGTTTCTATCCCTTTCACCCTAATCCTCGGCCGTTTGGTCTCCCCTGCCGAGGGCTTCCGTCTGGTTGGGTCCTATTTATATATGTATTATATACAATATTTATTTCTATATGTTTATTTTTATTCATAATATTTCTTTTATATATGAATATCCCCCCAAATAATAATTGTAAAGCTTTATTTAGTTCCATGCATAGTAAGTACATATTAAACTATAACAATTGGTAACTTATTAAACCTAAACTATTCTACTACGTTTATTACACTTACATGAATTTGATTTCTATTTATAAATTCTATTTTGTTATTAATTTTATTACTTATTTGTTCTAATTATCTACTATCTAATTAATTAATGCATGGACCCCATTCGGGTAAAAACCTCCCCCAAGGAATGCCGTTAGCTCTGTCTAGCCAACTTCCACCCGCGCATGCTACAATTTCATCTACCCATCTGGCCCTTGGTCGACCTCTTGATCTGGTGCCTTTTGGTATACGTATGCAGTACTATACTGCAATGTAATTACACCGATTGACGTAATTTGAGTGCCTCAGTTTCGGTGCACTAGTGTCCTCTCTATCTCTTTTGTGTATCAGATGATCGGATGATAATGCTATCTTTGATACTTTAATTAAATTATAGATACGAAACCCTTTAATAATAAATTCTTACTTGCACATGTATTACTGCCATTTGGCGACTGATCACGGTACTGTAAAAATATTCCACGGGTGTTTGCTAAATGGTAATGTTTACTGCCACAACATCCAATATGTATTTAGTTGCAGCATGTGTAATCTGTATTTAGTTGACACTGTTGACAGACAGTTTTCTAAATCAATATCAAATTTTTAAGCTGTATTCTGTAAGAATTATACAGCATTTTTGTTCTTCAAGAATCGTGAAGAATATTTCGCATTTTTAGTAAATTAACTTTACCAAAATGGTTCTGGAAAGTACAATGATATGTGTTGATAACAGTGATTATATGAGAAACGGTGACTTCCTTCCAACAAGATTGCAAGCGCAACAAGATGCAGTAAATTTGGTGTGTCATTCAAAAACACGGTCAAATCCTGAAAACAACGTAGGGCTACTTACCCTTGCGAATGTTGAAGTACTTGCTACCCTTACTAGTGATGTTGGCCGTATATTATCTAAGCTACACCGTGTGCAGCCGAATGGCAATATTAACATTTTGACGGGCATTCGAATCGCTCATTTAGCTCTCAAACATCGCCAGGGTAAAAATCATAAAATGCGTATCGTTGTGTTTGTTGGGTCACCAATTAATACAGACGAAAAAGAACTGGTCAAACTGGCAAAGAGATTGAAAAAGGAGAAAGTTAATTGCGATGTTATTTCTTTCGGTGAAGATAATGAAAATAACCCTTTGTTAACATCTTTTGTTAATACACTCAATGGTAAAGATAATGCATCTGGAGGCAGCCATTTAGTGTCTGTTCCAGCTGGCGGATGTGTCGTTTTATCCGAAGCTTTGATCTCAAGTCCTTTAATTGGTGGTGACGGTGCTGGACCTTCAGGCTCGGGTCTTTCTCCATTCGAGTTTGGTGTAGACCCTAATGAAGACCCAGAGTTGGCACTGGCTTTGCGTGTATCCATGGAAGAGCAAAGACAACGCCAAGAAGAGGAATCACGGCGGCAGCAAGGCAATACCGATGCTGAGATGAAAGAAAGCAAGACAGGTGACTCCCAAAATACTGGTATGGAGAGAGCTCTTGCTATGTCCCTAGGCCGTGAGGCTATGGAACTTTCAGAGGAGGAACAGATTGCTTTGGCTATGGAAATGAGCATGCAACAGGAGGCACCACAAACTGAAGAAAGCATGGATGTGTCAGAGGAATATGCCGAAGTCATGAATGACCCAGCCTTCCTTCAAAGTGTTCTTGAAAACCTCCCTGGGGTTGATCCTCAGAGTGAAGCCATCCGCAATGCCATGTCCACAATCAAAAAGGAAAAAGAGGATAAAGATGACAAGGAGCAGAAAGATAAGGATGGGAAAGGTTCAAGTTCAAAGGAGTGAACACATTTTTCTATTTTTTTTTTTAATGTTCAGTATAACTTCACTTTAAAAATTGCATATGGCACTTGTTGTCTTCACTGTAATTAGAAAATTGTAACTATAAATGATGTTTCATTTTCATCTCCATGAAATCCAATTGAGTCCTTCTATGCGAGTGAACCCTGCAGAATAATTTATTTTTTTAACATCATAATTTCTCATATTTAAGTGTAATAATATGTTGCTACATATTATTGCATGAAACAATTTCTAAATTGATGATAGGCTGTGAATGCTATAAGTAAAGAGTTGAAACATTGGGAATTTCAATTAAACATGAAAAAATAAAATAAAGTGTTTCAATTAATACTTTTCGCTAGCTTTATTATACTATTCTTTGTTATTTAAGTTAGAAAGAAATTTTTAGTAGTAGTTAAATGAGTAGTTACCAATGTTAAACAAAAGTTTACAATTTCGAGTTCTTTTATCAAAGTCAAAATTTCTTTATTCAAAATAGGCTTATTTTAAGCTCTTATTGAACATTAAAAACTACCACCGGTTCACTAAACTAGACCTGAGAGAGAAAAAACGGCAAGAAACTGCAGTCATGAATATTTTCGCACAAAAGAAATACAAAAACTGGGAGCTAATTGTTGAGCGCCCCAGTGACATGAACCTAGGACTTAGCCACTAGGTCATCTAAAGCATTAATGTATCTCTGACACAAATGGACTAGCATCCTGTTTGGTGTGGTCGCACTTTAACAAGATATGTTTTTGTCGATGACTTACTAGATTCGTCCCAGTACGTTTTAATAATAATAATAATAATAATAATAAATCTTTATTTCAGACCAGGGTCCATATTTGGTTAGTACAAAACAAAATGAAAAAAAAATCAATAAAGGGAAAATAAATTAAAAATAAATCAAAATAAATTAAAATTAACTAAAATTAAAAAATAAATCAAAAGAAATTAAAATTAATATAATTAAGACTAAGATTAACTAACATTAAATACACACACGCTTGTTAGCATATGTGTGTGCACCATTCCAACTCCTCCAGAGTGGGCTGTCGAGTTTGCACGCCAAAGTGCTGAGAAGGGCATTGGAGCTGTTCACTAACCGGCTCATCATGGATGCAACACGTTTCCGGAAGATCGCGTAGAAGTCGTCTACACGAGCCTCCGCAAACATTGCAGATGCACTGCAGTGACGCGGCTTCCCCAATACCGCTCTCAGCACATTGTTGTACTGCACACGAAGAGTTCTGAAGGTCCGCTGCGTGTAGTCCGCCCACAGACTGCACGTGTAAAAGGTTTGGCAGTAGGCTCTAAACAGCGTTAATTTTACCTCTGAATTACAACGCGCAAATCTGCGGGCCAAATATTGCCCCGGACCGACAGCGCCCTTCGCTCCCTCTCTATATCACCGTCGTCCACGAGGCGCTCGTTAACTCTCGGGCCGAGATACGTGAACTCCGCCACCTGTTTCAGGGGAATACCACACAATCGTATGATTGGCTGAAAATTGGTGGCTTTGTTTTTTCCCCTGAACACAAGGAACTCGCTCTTTTTGGCGTTTGTATCTGAGTCCATTTCTCTCAGCATAGTCCTCACAGATTTTAAGTAGCTTCCGGAGGCCACTGACCGAAGGACTAAGCAGAACCATGTCATCCGCATAGCTGATGTTGTTTATAAAGACACCATCAACTGAGCATCCGACACCAGCTCTGCTCAGCCCCTCTATCAGCTGGTTGACAAAAATGTTGAACAGCCTCGGTGACGTAAGCCCACCCTGCCTCACTCCACAGTTCAGCTTGTAGGGGTCACTCATAGCGTCTCCCCATTTTACGACATTTGACTGGTTACCGTACCAGTACTGCAACAACGATAACAGCTCCGGCCTTAGGCTCGTTTCCGTCCTAAGTTTATGCCATAGTACTTTATACGATACAAGGTCAAATGCTTTTGACAGGTCCAAGAAGCACGCATACACTTGCGTTTTTCTGTCAGTGTAGTACCGTACAGTCTGCTTGAGACACNTTTTAGTAGCTTTCTTTAAATGTATTTCAAGCAGACTGTCCAGAACTTTAGCTACGATTGTCGCTAGGGATATAGGCCTGTAGTTGGACCTATCCGCTACATCGCCCGTCCTGTTCTTCACTATAGGCACGACCACCGTCATCATCATTGCATCCGGCAGGTGACCATGACTGACACAGAGGTTATAGAGCATGGTAAGGACTCTGGAAAGGTGCACTCCAGCATATCGCAAGTGTTCGACACTCAGGCCATCATGCCCCGGGGATCTCCCCCGCTTCATACTCCTTATTGCGTCATTCACCTCACAAACAGAGAAGCTCAATGAGTCTACCCAAGGGTCTACGGTGTCCCGAGCACCGTCCACTGTTTGACCTACTATACTTAGGGGTTCCTCCCTGAAGTGAGTCCTAAACATATTGGCAATGTTCTGACTCCCTGTTATGCCTCCCACTTCCACAGGAAGGCCCGCCCGTGCATTCAGTCTATTTGTTTGTTGCCAGAACCTACTAAACTGCTTAGTCTCGTGTGTAGAGGCTAAAATGTCCATTTTTATTTGATCTTCATGGTCCTGGCACCATTTTAGTTTATTTTTGAAAAGCCTACGAGACTCCCGCATATCGTCGTATGTAACTCCACTACTCGGCCTCCCAGCCATCACCCACGACTGAAAACACAGACGAGCTCTCCCGTGTAGTGGCCTTACATGCCTATTCCACCCCGTAACACAACCTTTTTTTTTTTTCCTTACAATTTTATGACTAGCTATTGCCCCTGACTGCAATATGCTTACAATATGAGAGTACATATTATCGATAACTAGTTTATGTTCATCATTACAACAGGTTTTGCCACAACATTTCGTAAGCTCCATAGGAAAAAGTACTTTACTTAGCTTCTCATCACAAGTTTTCGTAAATAGCTTAGTCTGGTCACTATCCCTCTGCCCCCAAAATATCTTATTATTAAAACTCGAGATGATGATACAAACTGAGTATGTAAGGGGTTTAGGTTACAAAAAATTTCCAAAGGATAGTGATCAGACCACGAGACACTGTTATTTACGGTTATATTCTCAATGTAACCCCTAGCCATCCTAGTTACCAAACAATGGTCAAGCCAACGTGTGCATCCGTGAACATCACTAATGTAAGTATACGTCTCCCATTCTTGAAAAGTTCAAAGTTCAAAGTCCGCACAACACCATTTTTGTTCCACACAAAATTGCTGCATTTCATTAAAAAATAATTCACAGACTGTTTGAGCATTAAAGTCTCCTAATACAAATACCATACTAATACCACTGTCCTCACAACCGCATTAATCTCGCTCAAACAGTCTGTGAATTCTGGCAAGTTGTCAGTACAGTCAGTAGGCATGTATACCGAGAATATCAACAGATCACCTTCACGCAATTTACACTTTATAGCACAGAGCCTCGCATTATTGCACTTCACAACAGATACCGCCGTAAACGCACTCTTACGCCATAACAGCGCGACGCCCCCGTAGGGACGGCCGCGTAACATGCCTGCACTCATATCTACCGCTGACGTCCTGTGGCTGCAAACTCGTCATTAACAGTACTTAGGTAGGCCAAATCATGCGGTAGCAACCAAGTTTCCTGCAGCGCAACCACGTCCGCCGCCACACAAATACTTCTCACACTATCTATTGATCGCTTTAGTGACTTACAGTTAAAGCTAGTTAGCTTTAATTTATAATTATTCTCACTAATTGACTTCTGATCCATCATTTTTATTATTTTTATTATTTTTCCTCGTATACCCGTTCTGTAGGTGTCTTCCTACCCTTTCTAAATATTATATATCTTCTGAAGTATATACCTTCCGGCCACAATTCATTATTTGTAAACAATGACAATTTACTTTTAGGTATACAGAATTTAAATGATGTGTAATCTTTTTCCGATTTATTATTATTCTTTACTCTCTCCGGCAGTATATGTATATGTGTTTTCTCATATACATATGCTTTGGTATTTCTCCTTCGCTTTTGTCAATAGTTCCCTTCGTTTATATTCGTTTAACGGCTCGGGCTTATTGGGTGGCGATTTTTCATGTACTGGCGAGGCAAGTTTAATTTCTCAAGGCCACAATCACCAAGGGTTCATCGTAACTACTTTGTTATTAATAACAAGTAAACATAATTATATTAAAAGTTAACTTTTTTTTAAGTGAGAATGTGGCAAGGCAGCTGGCGGTACACCTGAAGTTAGCCGTCGCTATTGACATTTGCAACACCTGCAGATGCGCCGCCGCCTTGTAACAAAGTGGGCCCGGTCACCTCACTCACCAGACGAAACGCAGAAGTATAACACTTCCACTTCACGCCGTTTTCTGTGAGGCCGTTGTGCTTTCCCTAACGAACCTGTCCGTTCATGCAACAGCGAAGACTGTTGCGTTGCACAGTTACACAGTACAGTTACGTACACATTTTATTCAACATTGTATGTTGTCAGAATTCAAACTCGCAACGCAAGTAAAACATTCGTATTAGGTAGCAAAAAACATAATCGGCTTCAAATATCTCACTGACTATTTCTATGTATTGTATTTTTATTAGTTCCCTGATGTATCTCTGGAGCACAAGGTCTAATAATACCAAAGAAATTATATGGGATAGGTTTATGAAGTGAATCAAATCCAATGCAAGATTTTTTTAAATCAGTATACATAAATGATGGAGTTCTGAGGTAACAAACATAAAAAAACCATCAAACATCTTTTTTGTCGAAGTCGGTTTAAAAACTAGAAACTAGTGATATTCAGTTGAGATTTTGAGTCAAGATGTATGCTCTAATTTGAGGCAAGGGTCACAAATGTTAATAAAATAGTTCTTAAAAGCCAGGCTATGCCGTTACGAGAAATAATTATTTAATTCTTGATCAGCAGTTGACTTTTTAAACTTAATATTACATATTATTAGTATAATCTGTAATCTGTCTAGAAAAA